GTTCTGTGTGTGTGCATGTCTGTGAATGAATGTACGCATACACTAGCACACACGTGGCATTTGCCAATAGTCAAATATGATCAGACCTGAAAACAAAACAAAACAAAACAAAAAGCTAATTTCAATAAACACCAAGAATTGTTGCAGCTACATTTATAATCAAGAGAATTGGTCTTTATTGAGCAATGCCTTCTCCCTTTCTATTTTTGTTTGAATGTCAAAGCAAAGAAGTGAGGATAGTTAAATCAGTAGTATCCCTGAAAAGATTAAAAAAAAATGGTGAAATCATTCTCACAAAACAAAATGAACACATTTCAAAGATTTTAACTCATTAATTAATGAGGGCACTAGTAAGATGCTACAATTGGTTCAAAGGTAAATTTGAAGGACTATACATAAATGAGTAATAAGGAATGCTGAAATCAATTCACAAATAGATATCCAAAAGGTCTGTCAACAAGGCAATAATCAATTGCTTTCCCTAGAAAACAATTAACTTGCATTTGTGTGGATAATGCATCATTAGCATTGTTACCAGTTTTCTACAATTTATGGAGTTGTAACATTGCTCAAAGACAGTGAAAGGCCATATTAGCCAGAAGGTAACACCCAGATAAGACACCAGGTAATCTTTTCTAATTCTTTTTTTTTTTTTTTGCCAGTGTCAAAGTCTTTCACAATTTTTCCTGACTTCTCACACAGAACTCCAGACAAGGGATGCTTTGCGGGAGAGCCAAGCTGTTTGATCCCACATAATCCTTTAGTTCTGGTGACAGGCCACATAGAGGCTACTCAGACCATGAGCTTCTTTGTTTTAGGCTGAAGGATTGTAGAAGTGATTGTGGTGTCAGCCTCATTGTTATTAAAAGTAAACTAATTTCTCAAGTAAGTAGCAAATTAAACTGGTCTTGCAGTTTGCTGGGTGCTTATGCTAATGTAGACTCTGAATAAGAATACTTTTTTGTTATCAGTATATTTAGAAGAGTACATATTTTTAATTTTGGCATCCCAACTTGGAAATTGTGTTACAAGTTATTCACAGATTTTTGTTCTCCTGCTCCTCCAGTACCAGTCTAGATATATGGTTTTCATTTGTGAGTAGGATCTATATTTGTGAAAGTGGGAGTAGGAACACAGAAAAACAATCTATTAAAGCTTATTTTAATGTCATAATTGGTAAGGGTGACAATTATTCAAGTTGCTTTATATTCTTTTGATTTATAATTAACAAACAGTAATGAAATAGCCATTAAAAAGGAGAAGATAAGCTTAATGAATGTAAATTGTATAAATAGAGGGGGTTAATATTAAGCAGAACTCTTTTATAAAGAAGACAAGCTGCCCTAGAGAGCTTACATTTCTTGTTTTAAGAAATGATTCCTCTCCCTCATCTATTAGTAAAGTTCTTTTTTGGACAGATGCCGAATGATAAGGAAATACATGAAGCAAAAATAAAATGACCAGGAATTCAACTGAGAACCTTCTGGGTGACAGTCATAAAAAAAAAAAGAAAAGAAAAACAATCAGTCAAGCAAACAATAAAACCAAAATCAAAACAAATAAACAAAAATACCCCCCAGCAGGGAAACAAGTCAAATGAACTCATTTCTCTCTCACCTAACCATTTAGGGTGACTGTTTTATAATAAGAAGGCTGAGTTCATTTTAAAATAAAAGATCAGTTTATCTCAAGTTTCCCTCAACTCAGAAATGAATCTCAATGTATTTCAATTGTTTATTATTGATTTTTGTTTGCAAGATACTCATCACCATCTTGGGTGAAAACATATCTTCTATCACTGTCAAGAAAAGAAAAGAGGAAAAGTAAAATAAGTATGAAACATTTGTCAAAACACAAGACATTCTCGTCTCATGTGACCTTAACAACACGGAGATTTTCAAATACTACATGACTTGTGATAGTATAGAAGTGTTTCCTTGGCCAGGGGCTGTATCCCTGGAGACCTGAATTATTGGAAGGACTCTACTTTCTCTGGAAAAGTACAAACCCTAAAAAGACCAAAGACTTCTTTATTATAACAGGCAAATCAGCTCTTATCTTTAGCCATGCTGTATGAGGCCCTTCCGGCCTTTAAAAGCATATTGATGATATGGAGTTGTACCCTTTGAAATGAGAAGATCCTTTCATATCAAATGCTTTTCCTGGAACTGTGTACCTTTATTGGATAGTTGAAAGCTTGTATTTTTAAGGATCTTTACTATTTTTTAAGGGAAGTAGGAGGTTGGTTGCAAGTAATATAGTTGCCAACTTGGTCTTATTCTGAATCAGCATGGATAGAGAGTACTAACACAACGAGTAGATAACATAAAATGAAATGCTCAATAAGTAAAAGGGATTAGCAGCTATACAGAAATTCCCTTTTGGGGCTTCCAAAGGTGAAAATAAGTATTAAAATACAATATTTAACTTTTTTTTTAAAAAAAGAAGATGATAGGGAATTTTGAAATGTGATTACCTGTCTGTGAATAACACTTTCTTCTTGTTCTCTAAGCCACATTTTGGAGCTATTGACAAAAGTGCTTTTCTGTGATGAAGTGCAGGGCTTAAAATGTTTTAGAGAAAATTTTACATGAATTTTGTATTATACCTATAGGTGAAAGGAAAAATGCATTTAATTGAAAGTAATAAAGTGTCTAGCTTGCCAAACAATCCATTAAGGAGTTCCTTCAGCAAGTCTTGAATGATGAGTTTTTTATTTCCTACCTTATCTTAGCACTAAGTATGCTTTACTCAATGTTGTATCTCTACACCAAGCATAGTGCCTGGCATAACAACACTTGTTTGAATGCATGAACATAGGGCTCTAGCTAAATACTGATCCTAGTGCTCCATTGAATAACTCTGTGAATAAGACACATAATCAATTTCTCTTGACCATAATTTTGCCTTCTGTAAAAGAGAGGACTTTAGGATTGATTTCTTAAGGATACCTATGGCTTTAAAATTTTGATTCTAAAATTGCAAATGGAAAATTTATGTTCACATTGCCTATGGTGTTTGGTTATACTTTCAAAATATTTGTATATAATCTTTTCCAGTACAGTGAAAAGTCAATAAGAACTTATTACATGATGGAACATGAGAAAAAGCAGCCGTTGAAGTCTGATGAAGGTAATTCACCATGGAGAATAGATGTCAACTTGAGGAACGCAAGTACCGTCTCCTTAAACATTAGCCATCAGGTTCATCTTAAGCAGCTGTGGCAATATTTTCTCCCTACACTTCTAGATGTTTGCAAGAAAAGATTATGGAAAATGCTCTTTGCTATTTCCAAATAAAGGTAATGGATTAGATCTTCTACAGAATAGTCTTTTGGCAGAGGACTTGAGGGAATCGGTCAGAACCCACACATTCTGCCCTTTTATGGAACAACTGTAATGTAAGGAGAATTTCCTTGTAGAATTCTCTGACATGACAGGGCTGTTATTTTAAAGTTAAGTTTTCCAAATTCAGTACCCTTGGGACATTTCTCTTTGGTATTTTGATCATAAGCAGGATATGTGATGCCATTAAGTTAGCCTGTATCAAAAATTGTTTCATGAGAAGACCAATCATTCTTTGAGAACACAACATTTTTTTTTTCAGAATAGAACAGTGTTTTCCTAAGTAATATTTCACAGAAAAATGTTTTCTGGAGTAGCAGATATCATTAAAAAATAGGTAGTTAGGTAAGTATGTTAGATTAGATATATAGGATTTCATGTTTGGGAAGTGCTGGGTTAAGCAAATTTAAATACTTTTCTTGGAGCTTCTAATGTGTCATTGCTGTGTGGATCTCTAGTGGCAGGGGTAAAGATTAGCATACAGGTTTCCCCAAACATGTTTGTTTAAGAAACCCCCTTTTTCCCTTCAGAGTTGTCTGTGGGACTTTATTTTCATGGAACATAATTTGAGAAATTATCTATACATGATGATGATGTAGATATTTTTCTTGTTAGAATTTTTAGTTTAGGCAAGGCCAAGGCAATTAAAAAATAAATTTAAAACTAGATAGGATATCAAGAGAAAACAGCAGTACACTCAGCTATTAAGAATGATGTATTATTTTGAATAAAGTTGTATTTTATATAATTAAATTATTCACCATAGGGTGTTTTTTAATGTCCAATGCTTATGAGCTGTGGCTGTATAAATATTAATTTACCCTAGGATTTAAATAACCTGATTGAATTATGAGTTGGATAGAGTCTTAGGATTGCCTACGTTTACATGAAACATTTGTTTTGAGAAATATAGTTAAATTATGTAACCGATGACATACACCACATTATAAGTACTGTTATAGTTTATTTTTCCAAACTTTTCCATTTGTAGTATACTTTGAAGAATATACAAATAACTAGCAAATTAGTAAAAAATGGACACAATGGGAAGAATTGAAAGAGAGGACTAGTATTTTTTTGAATTCTTAAATGATATATCAACCTGTGTTAATTGTAACTTCTCATGTTTAATGATGTTTACAATTAAAATAATATGCTAGCAATATGGGATTAACAGTTATAATTAACTCAGAATAGATTTTTTGAAGGGTTCAAAGAGCTTTTCATAATAAATTACTAGACTTTAATCAGCTAATATAAAGTGAGTATTTTTTTAGAATGTGAAAAGTACATTTATATCTCATAAAAAATTTAACTTAGGTTAATGAAATGAGTTTGAATAATCCAGATTCACTATACCAAGTCAGAGGTATGTCTGACATTTCAGTGAAAGCTTTATTTAGAAGGAGTTGAGGAATTCTTTAAGATAACAAGCTTTTGACTGTGCTATCTTGGGTGTTATAGCTGAGTGGTTTCCCCAGAATCTTGAAGTCCTTTTCAAACTCTCTTATGAATGAATTGAATTAATGAAATATAAATAAATTGTCTCTTTTGAATTTCTTAGCAAGTTAAAAAAATGCCGACTTAAAAGTTCATAAAAGTGAATTTTGCTCGTTGAAATGTTATCTCCCCTTGGGAGGCTAGCCCTGGTTGGCCTCCGGGATCCTGTTCCATCCACTCACACACAGTTGTGATAAGGAGAGTGAAGTATGAGCTAAATAGAGAGGAGGGCTGGGCAAGGTCATTTGTGCCAGAATGCCAGAGATGCTAAGATCTCAAGAGTGCTGTAGTACATAAACAGATGTTACACTAGTGAGTTAAAAAGAATACATATATATATAAATATATATAAACACACACACGCACACGCGCACGTACACACACACACACACATACATACAGAGTAAAAATGAGGGTCCCTGTATTTGAGGATGTAAAAGATGAAACTGAAGAGGAAAAAACAGAGGAAGAAGAAAATGAAGAAGACCAGGTGAGTGGGCAAGCACCTGCGGAAGAAGGGTGCTTGTTCCTCTAAGTTGATTAGAAATGTGTTTCCTTTCCCTTTGTTTCTGGACAGGTATTCTTTAAGCCTGTTATTGAAGACCTGAGCATGGAATTGGCCAGAAAATGCACCAAACTCATTAGTGATGTAAGTGGCTTAAGTAATTTTTGTCTCATTTTGCATTGCATGTTGTAGAATATTATGCCATAGAATCATAGAACAGGAGAGAAAACCCTAAAACCATCTATTAAAACACAGTTATTTTCTCGACCAGAGAACTGAGTCTAGAAATTTTAGGTCATTTCCCCAAGGTCACCCACACAGAGAATTTCTGTGGGAGCAGGTATCTGTGTCCCCAATCCAGAATCTTGTTGCTATGGATTTCACCATCACGCTGGCATGAAATCATAAAACATTGAATTCAGAACATATTCCTTTAAGAACCCAAAGCCTATTTTAATTTGTACAGTGATGTAAAATGTTTTGTGGGGATCTCGATAAATGAATGATTTGAAAAACATTTTGGGAACCTTTTGAGAACTCTGATGAGAGTTTTGCAAACCAGAGAAAAATGCATATAGCACTATGAACACATAATGCCGACTTTCAATTTAGAATTAGTGGCTGATTGAACTGTATGTTGAGAACTGTGAACTGGATGATGATGATGATGATGATGATAGGAATGAAAAGGAGCATTTGTGTTGTGACTTTTTCATTAACTAGGATTGGCTTATATTTCAAAGGAATCCTAAAATTATAGAATTAACATATATTTTTATAGTAAATAAGTAAACTAAAATTCTAGAAGCATAAAGTATTGCTCACTAGGGATGAGAACTGAGATGCTCTCATTAAAAGAGTTGTGAGAGAGTTGCCTTGTGAAAAAGATTTATCACAAAGAGTCAAAGGATGGTGGGAATCATACCCCTTTCCGTATATTTGACATGTGATGTAATTAAATTTTAAATTAAGTATTTCTTTGTGCTATTATTTAATAATGGTTATGAGCTACTGTATTTGAATATTATAAACTAATAATAATATTGAAATGACAACAATAATAATATTAACAATAGTTAAGATTTATTGAGTACTATGTGCTAGGTAATGAAGCTTGTGAGGTAGGTTCTATTGTTTTTCCCATTTTAGAGGTGAGGAACAAAGGCTCAGAAAGGCTAAGTAACTTTCCTGGGTTGCACAGTTGAGCAGTGGGGAATAGGGCTTACACAGAAAGCACTCTGTCTTAGTCACACCACTGTGTTCTCTCTTGCTGTAGATGTCCGTGCAGGTTATCTCACCGTTGTTATTCATTTTTACACTAACATTAGTACTAGTAACACTACGAACATTTTCATACAGAAAATATGAACTTAAATTTGAAGTTATCTCTGTTATATTGTTCGCGTGACTAAATGGTAGCCTAAAATATATATTCGAGGTTGCATCAATAATCGCAGAGCTGAAACAGGTATAAGAAGGGATGACTTGCGGCCCCGAGTTAGATGAAGTCCCAGCCAGGTCCATTAGGCCTCTGACAGTGCCCATCTGTCAGTGTCCGCGTTTAATTTAATTTAGTGTGCCTGTCTTCTCCCTGCTCTCAAACTTCAATTTAAAGACACACGTTTAAGTCCCTTAGTTTTGTTTTCTAATTCCTTATATCCCAAAGGGGCATCCATGTGTTTACCTGAGGCTTTTTGTTTGAAGGCAGTCTGTCTGCAACCTGTCACCCAGAAAATTTGGTGTATTGTTTGCCTCCTCAGTAAAGTCATATGTCCTGAAGCTTTAAGAAGCAGTCTCACATCCTGTGGATTGAATCACACAGCTAATGAGCCACAGACCTGGGATTTGAACCATGGTCTGATTCCCAAGCCTTGGCCACCGTGATGTCCTTCCTCTTGCCGTGAGTGAGGCCCTCCGCACACCTCACTGTACTCTGTGATTTTGGTTCTGTGAGCCTCAGTTCAGAGGTGGTGCAACCCAAGGCCAACTGGCTAGACAGGGGTGGGGGCAACATTTGGGCTTAGGTCTGGTTAAGCTCAGAGCCAGGATGATAGCCACTTGTCACTCTGCTCCATTTTTTGAGATGAAAAGAGTAGCTTTGTGGGTTTCTCTTCATGGAGCAGCCTTTCTACGTTGCCTCCATCATCACTCTCACTGTTCCTCTCTGGACCTCTCCTACCTTGGGCATGCCTTTGTCGGGTGTGCTAACCGGATCTGTGCACAGCAGTGCAGACATAGATGGCCTGTGGTCATGGGTGGGGTGGGATGATGTTCCCTTTTGCTCCACACACCCTTTCTGGAGATGGTTAGAGTTTCTCGGACTGGGGGCCTGCAGAGAGCTAGATCAAGCTCTGGGGGATATCTTTCTCAGACATTTTCAGTCCTAATTTCTGACTTGTAGCTGATTACTTAGGGCTCATCAACTTTTAATCGTAGTTTGAATGATTTTCACCTTGCAAGGGACGGATGTCATCTGTAGTCATCTGTCCTCTGGCATGGCCCGTTGAGAGCTTCCCCAGTTTAACTCTTTCAGTTTGACATTTCACTCTCCCTGAGAGCTTGGGGTCACCAGCAGACCTGCATACCTTGCTGTATCATGTCCTTGCCAGATAGTTTATTAAAGTGTTAAATAATGTTGGTCTATAGAGAGAAGTCCTGGCAGGCCTGCACCCTTTGGAACTGCACATTTTTCAGATCAGGTGGCTTCACTTTGGGGATCAGAATGAGGCACTTTTCAAGTTTTCTTGCCCCACCTAGTTTCTGCTTTGCGCTTGCCCTGCCCATATGTAGGGTTTCCCTCTGCATAACTCACTTCCGATCCAGGAGGCAGCGCAACCTCTTTTTATTTTTCTGTTAATCAAGTCATGCTTTCAGTTTCCCCCAGATAATCCCTCTCGGCTATTTTATCCTGTTAGTCAAGTCTCTAGGCAACCCCTTGAATAAATCAAACCTATTGACTATACTTAGCGGTCAGAATCATGGATCTAGTGGCCTTTTGTCAGGTGGTCATAAAAATATGCGGTTAAAGATAATTGTTTGTATGTTTCTGTAAATTAGGCATAAAGTCTCTGCAGAGCAAATTTGGCCACATCTGCAGGGCACCTCTGACTCAATGTCCTGGTTCAAACCTTTTTAGGGTGTTCATGTGCAATGCAGCAGAAAGAACATTTTTCAGGTAATGAGCATTGCGTGCTGTGGGTAGATCCTTACAATGCTGAAAACATTACATTCGTGGTTACCCCCCCAGGGAGAGCTCTGAATGTGTGAGAGAGCCTGGGGGCGCAGCCTTGGCTGTGAGCGCCCAGGTAGCAGGTAGGAGTGGAGCCCCACTTCTTCCTTCCAGGGTTTACTGCATTTAGTGATGTGGCTCCATTTGTGAGGAGACTTTCTAGGCGCTTTTGGTTAAGAGAGCTTGTAAAAGGAAATATCCTCAAACATTTCTACATCTGTCACCCACTGCCAGCCATTTGCTAATCTCACACTGAGTGAAAAAAACTAGGTGAGGAAGAGGAAGTGCCTGCAATCTAATGATCTAAGGGAACTCTCTTTGCACTAGAGACATGGTGGGATCAACGGACGAGGTCAAAGCAGAAAGTAAATATTTTGGTCATCTTAATGATCATGAAGTCATCAACTTGGCCCTTTTTTTCTCAATCAGAACATAACTGGCATGGTGTACTGGTTATGAGTACTGCACGTAACAGGAGAACCCTGGCACAGAGGTTTAATACATAAGTTTGTTTTTTCTTTTCATACATGAAGCCTTCAGGTAGGGGGTCCAGTCTTGGCATATTTGATGCTATTAGTTTCTCAGATTCCTTTTCTTCTGCTCTGTCGAAATTAGTTTGATGGCTTATTGCCTTTAAACGACATCATTGCTGCTGTATCTTTTGACTGGGGAGGAAAAAAAGTGGAAGGGCAAAGTATCAAAGGGCTATGCCAGCAAGTCTCTCCCTGTACAACAGAAACACCAGGACACTACTGAGAAGACTCCACTAACGTCTCGTGACCAGAGCTGGGCACCTGGCCTCCCCAGGCCAATCTCTAGCCAGGGGGCATGAGAAAACCTTGCCTGGTTTAGAGCAATTGGTCCTCTGGGGCTGGGGGAGGGGTCTGGCTACTCTAATAAATACATGTGGGTTTTTTTATTAAGAAAAAGAGGGGTTGGATAGGCAATCCACCTAAGAGATAGAGCTGTGGTTGTCTTTGGGATACATACACTGTTGTATTAGGAAATGGCTGTCTACTCAGCAATTTTCATTTTACTGAAAGTTTTGTGTCAGTCATTGGTTTCCTTTCATCTGCCTTCTTCTGGTATAGGAAACCTAGTAATAGGTGACATTTTTTGCATACAAATTTAAGATAATGTGCTATTGCCATTCATACTGTATAATTGATTAGAAATTAGAAATGTGTGTGTGTTTGTATTTTAAATAAAGACCAAAGGAAGGAATGGAGACCCCACTTAAGAATGAACCTTTTGCCTGCATAGCAAAGGAAGTAAGTACTTCACCCTTATCCCTGCTCCCTTCCTGAACATTCTGCTCAGGTTAGAGCTTATCAGGAGGCCTGTGGCCCCAGCACATACCACTGCAGTGAAGAATGTGAATGTGAAAGGGAAAAGATGGTGGCAGAAGATAAAAATAATGAGGCTGACTTAAGCCTAATGATAGGTTATTTTCTCTCACACTTATTATATAATGGGGATATGTTCCCCCCACCTTATGATCAAAATAGCCTACTATTTATCATGCTGCCTCTAACAGTTTAATTACTAGTGACTGAGGAGGGTGATTTGCAGAGGCCTAAAATTAGGGCTAATCTCTGAGAAGAAAAAAAGTAATTTACTGCACAGATAAGATAAATATGTTCTAATGTTGATTTCATGAATAAAGCAAATGTTTAATGTGGCAGGCATATAATATCTAAGAGTCACAGTGGTGAAATACGGTATTTTGAAATAACGTTACTTAGTGTGTTTGTGTCTGGTTATGGTCAAATAATGCCCTTCAGATCAGCTTTGTGTATGGGAAAATGCCTACGCAATGTGTGTAACATCAATATTAGTCATATCCTTTAAGAACCAGGTACTATATAGAATTAAACTTTACTTTTAGATCGTAATTAGTGAGACCCTAGGACCCTTTTTGCAGCCTAAGTATTTACAGTCTTGGGTAGAGAAACATGACTTTATTACAGGGTGATATCACTTTTGCAAATACCTTTGTCTTCTCAGCTAGTCATAAAATTTGCCTCCTCAGTTTTCAGACTGGGCTGCCATTAGTGTGACAGTGGGAATCCATTTTAGCTCCTTCTCCACAGTTCCTAACTTCTTTTTGGCTCCTGTGTCCATGCAGGGTGTTTCTTCAAAATAACAATGCTGGCCTTTTCCCAAGAGGAAAGGAGTGACTCATTTCACTAGAGCATTCAAGGGAGAAATGAGCATGCTCAGCAAAGCCTCTCTGATCTTTTCCTTGCTCACCTGCTTCCCCACAGCAAGGGGGCATTCTGAAATGATCTTAGCCGTATGACAAACGTTCCCGGCAGGCTCTACTCTTGTTGGGGGAGGAGCATGGGATGCCTGTGGGTGCTCATAAACTGAATAAGTTTGATTTGAGTGGAATTAATTGGTAACAGGAAGACCATGGTGGCCACAATTTTAAGCCCCTTCCTCTAATCTAGCAGGTCTAGGTAATGATGCTAATGTAATAATACTCTTCATTTGTTTAATTTCTGCCTCTACTTCTTAAATGGTTACATCTGTCCTGATGACTACTTCCTTTAAATCTAGAAGTAGGCAGCTATATTTCTGTTTGACTTTAGGCTTAACTGTTAAGGTCATTCGCTTAAAAGTAACAAACCTGGCAACAGGACTCATAATCATGGGTCCAGCACACATGATCCTTGACTGTAACTGGATCCTCATTTATCTAAAGAAGAGGCTTTCTTTATTGTCCCTTATCATTTTTGCTGTTCTGTGCTGGATATCAGTTTATGTAATTTGGCTTCTTTTGAGCATCATTCCACATTTGAGTATTTACTTCAGAAAACTGGTTTTCTCAGGTTAATCCTTCTGTTCAGCAATAGATCATTGAAATTTTTTCTTCTTCCTCTTATGTGAGTTATTTTCTCTTTTAGATTCATTATAAAGAGGAGTATAAAAAGTCTAAGGACAAGTGTACATTTGTGACAGACACTCCTATGCTAAATCATGTAAAAAATATTGGTGCTTTTATTTCTGAGGTAAGATATCAAAAACTTGCAAAATGGCTCTCATTTTCTTCTTATATTTATATAGATAAAAGTCTGTGCATTAAAGTTGAGTAATATTTTCAAAAACACCACTGAATGTTGGTAATATGTATACAATTTTGTAATTCTATGCACTATCTACTGTCTGTGGTGGCTGTGCTTTATTATGTATGCCTGTATTTTGACTCCATACCTTTCTTATTTATATAGAATTACTCTTGAAAGGGGATATTTTTATTCAATAAGTAGAAAGTACTAACAAAATAGTCTTAGAGGTTTCATATTTTATTTTCTGACAGACTAACTAGTTATAAATTATTGAATATAATTTTGAAAATAAGTAAAATTTACCAGCTGATTCCATAAAATATGGTACTTTTGGTTAATTAATTTTAAATAAATTTAAACTATTTTTGAATAGGATTGGCTCAGTGGAGATACCGATTATGAAACCAGAGTGAGAAATGCACTACATTTATTTTCCAACTGAAAAATCATGCAGTGTCCTTCTGAGAGCATTTGTGACCACAGTGTGTTGCATTGAAAAGAACAGTTAACAGTGATTTTGGTAATGAGGCATTTCTGTAGTCTGTGAATGGATCACTTAAAAGAGATAAACTTGGTAAGAGAAGGAATAAAATGGCTGACCTCTAGTGTTTCATATGTTGGAAAAAGATCAACATGATAGTCTCAGGATTATTTTTGCTAACACAAAAATGTTGTAAGGAAAATTGGTCAATTTTTAAAATTAAGTATCCAAACTTAAAGAATTGCAGAAATGCAAAGTTTAAACAGGAGACATACTCAAATCTATTTCTGAGTGGGAGTCACATCAGGGACTTGCCAACAGAATGTGGAAAAACATGGTTGTATTTATTTGAGTTAGCTGTTATTTCTCTCGTGCAGAGAAATTCTTGATGTTCTTAATTATCAATTGATTCATTTTCCTGAAGGAGTTAACTGCAGAGCAAAAACATGGGAGTGAGCAATCTGTTGTGTTTCTTTGAACCTAATCTTCCCAAGAGGAATTGGTGAATGAGTGTTGCTCTATAGGAGTAATGATTGAGGTCACCTAGGAACAGTGCCGACTGGAGGTGTGAAGGCGCAGAAATAGCAAAAAGCACCTCACCCCTCATCGTGGTGGGAGGAGGTTAACAAGATGAATAAAGGCGCTCTGTCCTCTGCATTAGGTTAGCCAGTACATTCTAACAGCTTGTATTTTCTGAAACAACTCAAATGTCCCATTGCTCTCAGAGTTTTCTTTGCTGAACAAACATATGGAACCATTAATACACACCAATAGATTTACTTTTAGAAATATACATGGGTTTAAATAAGAAAAATAGTCATTTTTTTCTTGTGTGTCTAGTTTAAAGCCTTCTCATGATAAACTGGATTTATCTTTCTTCAAAATATGTTCATCAGGTCCAGTGTCAAAGATTAAAATGCTCTTCAGATTTTTAAATTAATTCTGTTTCTAAAGAAAGTTTCTTTTTATTCTCTTTCAATATTCACGGTAAAGGAGTAATGTTTGTTTATTTTTTCCTTCCCCCTCCCCAGGCAAAATACAAAGGCACCATTAAGACGGACCTTACCAATTCCCTTTATAAGCAGATGCCAGCCACAATCGACAGTGTCTTTGCAAGAGAAGTGACACAGCTTCAAAGTGAGGTGTGGTTTTCCTAAATTGTTACATAATTGTGTAGATTAAACATATAACCTGCTATAAATTATTCAGCGTTTTAAAAGTTATTTATCTTGAGTATAACTTGCCGAATAAAACATGAAAGTTTCATTGTGTTTTTCATTTAGAATACCGCAGACAATCAAAAACGGGCCTCCATCAGGTGGAAGTCCATTTTGGTGATTGCAAGTTACAGACAAATTTAAGAAATGTCAGCATGAAACGCATTTTGAATCCACAGGAGTTTAGGAGTAATTTTCCCTTTATAGTACATCAACACATAGGGAATACTTAATGCATTTAATTTGTTGTAATTCTTAAAATAGAATTTTAAAATAGAATATTTCCCCTCTTTTTCACTCATTGTTTTGTTTTGTTCATAGCACAATCTGGTGTTGTAATTTTTGTTGTTTTTTTTAACTTCACTAACCTGCTACTTGGTTCCCAAGTGACATGAGGGCAGGGGCCTCATCTGTCTTCTTCCCTGAAGGGGTTAAGTGCAGAGCAAATCTCTGTGCTTAGAGCAGTCCTCGGTATATAGGAAATGTTCAGTAAATACTTGTAAAGTGGATTTTTATTCAATTTGTTGATTTTCTTTCCAAGGAAATGTTTTTACATAATTTATATTCTTCATGTTGCATTTTAGGTTAAAAATAATAGTAAACAGATAGAAATGCTTATTATATGTCAGGTACTATTCTCTGCATTTCACAAATATTTATGTCATTTAATCCTTACAAGCAACTGTATGAAATATCCCCATTTTGGAGATGTGGACACTGAAGCACAGAGAGGTTAAGTAAGTTGCCCTAGGTCACACAGCCAATAACTGGGTGAGCCAGCTCATGAACACGGACTATCTGGCTCTGGATTCTGGTTTCTTAACCACACATTTTACCATCTGTCTCTTACCATCTCTACCCTGCTTTTTCTTATTAAACAAGTTTATGTTTTGCTCCAGAATTGTTGTATCTTTAAATAGAGGATACCTAGATAATTATAAAATAGTCTGAAAATATATTGCTCTTGAAAAACACTGCGCATACTTATCTTTGGCAGAACCTCTTTAGTCCTTCATTATTACAAATTTAAATGTCCACTGTGTACCCAACTTGAACAGTAATCTCAGTTGTGCAACTTGAGGCTAAAAATATTTGATGTTAAAGTTTCGCGTGGCTGCCCATGACTAAAATGTCCCTCTCCTTTTTTTTTTGCTACTCACATCAGTCACCTAGCCGCTTGCTGATAGTAGGGACTACTTTATAAAGGAAATAATAACACTTGATATGTGACAGGCAACAGTTAAGCAATAAAGAAGGAAAAGAAAAAATCTATTTTAAATTTTATATTTACTTGGGAAGAAAACTTTTTTAGCTATTGACATTTTTATTGCTTTGGAAATGTACAAGTTTTGTCACCTTTTATAGCATTTAATAGATTTATAGTGCACAAATATGTGCAACAGAAAGCTTAACATGAAAAATAATCCATGTTGTATGTTTGGAAATTATGTTTCATTTCCGTGCCAGGATAGGTCATCATTCACATGGTGGATACGTGGTATCCAGCAGCAGACCGCGCGCCCTGGGAAAGCTGTGTTTGTGCTCTTAAGGGGCAGCACTGCCCAATGTTGTAATTAGTCACTGAACTTGTTGATAAGGAAAACCCTGGACACGGCGTTAGGTGTCTATTTCAAAATGTATGTAATTATTATAATGTTTCTTTAGACTAACATACATCAACTTTATTGCTGTTAAAATTGCAATCCTCCAAGCTTACTTGGTAATAAGACAATCAAGAAAGTAAAAGTATTTGACAATGTCTGTGATAATTAAGCTAACCTTTTACTGTGTCCAAATAGTATCAGATTTGTGCTAACCTAAATTAGAGTATTAGCCAAATCTGAAATTTAATGGCATTCTGGGTCTAATGAAATATCTCCTAAACTTTCTACACTGGAACAAGTTATTATATTAAAACCATTTTGCAAACATTCTCAGATGCTTACATTCAAACTAGAATGATAAGGTGAAGTTGGCTAGTTTAATATTCCTTATAGAAAATGACTAATAGAAAGAAATGCCTTTTGAGAGAGAGGGCGAGGAGAGAGAGAGAAATGTAGAGATTTTAGGAAGTCATTTTATTAGATATTCCTCATTAAAAACTTTATAAACACAGGCCACAAAGAAAAGCTACTGCAAATGAATGGATTGTGCTGGGTAGCAGTGAAGTCCTTCTCCCCAGGGCTGTTTCTGATAGGGCCTAAATAATCCCTTATTGCAGAAGTAGTAACAGGCTATTCAGGCATCTGCACCGGGGAGGTTTAGAAGAGCCTATGTTTTTACCTAAAGTGGCCACAAGGAACACCAGAGGCATCTTGCTATGGATTAGAAGCACATCTACCTATATAGTATTTATAAAATATAGTGTAAGTTAGAAATATATGTGCATCTTATATATGAGATATAAAGATATACTATGCAGTCAAATATGTAAGATAAATATATGTTACTTACGTAAACATATTCATATATAAAGTTTATAAGACTATCCTCCATTAGTTAGGTGTCCAGTACCATAGCAAACTTAACTCTCAGGGTATGAAGAAAACAAGTATTAATCTAGGGAAATGTCACACAATAAAGACAAATCTTAGGAAATCAAATTTATCAGGAAATTTATTAGTTTGACATAATTTCCATTAGCTTTTTTAAGGCTGAAAATTAATATGATAAAGTTCAGCTGCCTCCAGTTTGATATAATCTTAATTCTGAAGTGGTGCTTCGTAGAAGCTATAAATGAATTGACTATTTTAATGCTCCAAGTAGGAAATTATATAGCCTTTTAAACAGTGCTTTTTAAAATTGTGTTTGATGACTCACCATTTCTATGATAGACCACCAGATGATCAGCTGCATTGGTTATGTTTATAAAGTCACAAGTATGATAGTCAGTCTAAGATTTAAAAATAAACCAAGCATCGAGCAAAAAAGGAGAAAGGTACAACCTAGCTCTCTTTTTATTTAAGTAGAAGGAACATAGCTCATCGAAGTTTTGTCCTGGCTTAATAGACTTGGCCCCCCATTAAACTCCTCCCTGCCCCCAAAGATATAGTATAGAATGTAATGGAACTGAGATAATGGACTTTCTCAGCCCGAGAGGAGGTTCTTAATGGGTTTCCTGTTTAACATAATTAATTGGTAAAAAATGCAAAAATGTGTTAATTAGAAGATTATCCTGATGGATTAAATAACTGGACAGACTCTAACAAGATGAATTATCCTTGGGCTAATGTGAGGTGCTGCATATGAGCCCGAATAATCAGCCATACATGCAGGATTGGATGTGGGATCAGGGCTGGGTGGGACTGAATGAGACGTAAGGGTGTTTAGCTGACAGAAATCTCAACATAACCATCAATAGGAAACAGTGTGATCTATGGATGCATTAATCACATATAACACATGAGAGATGACAGGCTGGATTAAACTGAATAATTCCAATTAAGATAGGTCAGACCATATCTGGAGCATTGTGGGCACCTTAAGAAAGAGATGGATAAATTGAAATTTGCACTGAGGAGCACCGCTAGGGAGTTTAGGGGATCAGTGCCTCAACCCACAGAGACAGCCTGAAAGAAGGGAAGTCACTGGCAGCTATGTTCCCATGTTAAAGTTCTGCCCTTTGGACTAGACTCCGCCTATATGGCCAACCAGAGGCAGCTCTGGTCAGATGGATTTGGGTTTCACTGAAGGAGGAGTTTTCTATCACAGCTTTCAAAATTTAGAGACTATGATACCCCAGATTGAGTTCTCTTTTATTAGTTTTTAATAAAAACTCAATAGAGGAAGCAGAGAAGGGTTAAACATTGATGGTTGTACTTGATGGGTTCTTTTTGTGGTTATAGTTGATGATCTTATTTTTCTTTAATTTTTAAAAACTAGTTTTATAATTATCACTTTAATCCTTTAGATAAGTATTCAATATATTATCTAAGTCAAATGGGTGGTTAATTCTGTTTATTAAAGCCTATAAGGGATTTAAGTTCATGAGAATGTTTCATAAACTAATTTATTTATTCATTCACTAAACAGTTATTGCACTTCTACTCTTTGTCATGCGCTAAGACAGGCAAAGGATATTACAAGATGTGTACAATACAGGCATAGCTCTCATTGAGATCATATTGGTAAAAAGTTTTGCCCTAAGTTTAACTGTATTCTTTTTTATTGAAAATTAGATCTTGTATTGTTCTTGGTAAACACTGTTCTAATATTTCTTCTTAAGGTGAGCTTATTCTCTTGGGTCAAGTAATTTTAACTCCATTTACTATCTTTTTATTATTAAACCTTTGATATCTATTGAAAATTAATTTTGAAATGATTTATTCCTGTTCTCATTCATTCAGTTATTTATTTATTTACTTGAGCAAATATTTATTACTGCTTACATTATGCCAGGCTCTATTAGGGGTTCTGAGCCTTCAGTGAACCAGACAGTTAAGTTTTAGTGACGGCAGACAGAAAAGAAATAATTGGACAAAGTAATTAAAAATTGTGAAGAAAATAAATAGGGTAATGCATAGACGGAGAGCAAGGGGATAATTTGTTTGCTGTCCTCTGGATTTTCTTTAATTTTGAACTCTCTGGCTGAGTTTGGTTGCTTCTGCTTCCTAAGCAATCATGCTCATACCTTCTCTCCATCCCAGTATAGAACAAATTTAACTTGGTGGTAATTGATGGTGTTGGTATGATACCTCTTTCTTTAACAGAGGAGAGAGCTTGACATATCTGAGATTTTCACCTACCTTATATTTTCTTCCAAAGGTTAAAGCATTTAAATACTATAGCTGTGTCTACGTACAATCATAACAATTAATTTAAAAATGAACAATTCACTTGTAAATATCTGATCATTTCCCCTACTTTTCAGTTGCTTATCCTAGATTTAAACCTTGTACATTTATAATCCTAAGAGCTCTTGGGTGTAGGATATTTCCCAGAACTGCAGATGAGTTTTAAACTAGGTGAATGTAAGACTTGGGATTCCAGTCTATGGTTAAGGACTTTGGAAATAAGTGACAAAGATTTAGAATTAAGAGTCTAAACTGAAGCACTAAAATTAAAGTGTTATGTATATTGTCTTGTTGTAGAGGCTCAGGCAAACTTAACCTTCATTTGTAGTACTGAAATATGCAAAATCCTAGCAAAACATTGAAATTTAACAGGTAAGAATTTAATACACCTCTAAATGAGAGTAATGGTTTATTCTCTCTGTGTGTGTGGTTTGTTGGTTTTTTTTTTAAGATTGCCTACAAGCAGAAACATGATGCTGCCAAAGGATTCTCAGATTACGCCCATATGAAGGAGCCACCTGAGATCAAACATGCCATTGAGGTCAATAAACACCAGAGCAATGTAAGGAAGCCGTTCCTCATGATTTTCTGGAAAATTGTGTTTAACCCACATCAAGGCTAATGGATATTTTGTTGAAATTTCAATATTATTGCACTCCTATTCAAAAATGGCTTTAAAATTTACTTTATTTTTATCTCTCTGTGTTCAGTCAGAAAGACATCAGGATTATTTTGTCAACAGTTATTAAAACCTTGTGAAATGCCTTTAAAACATCAGGCACTTGTAGGCATTGGAAAATCTGCTTTGGACAAGACACATGTGGATCCTTTGGATCTATTGGGTTATTAGCATTTCTTAGAAATTCCTTGACTTGATGGCAAAGCTCCCATGGTTTCCCGTCGAGGATTGCAGAAGAACAGGGAGAAAGAGCGTTGCAAATCAGTGGCCCAGGGAAGAATCATTCACAGACGCTAGTGAGATTGTACTCCACTACTGTTTCTTTTGGAATGCTTGTGGGGAACAAAGAACCAAACTTAAGACCCATAGCGAATAGGGAAGCAATAGATGCCTTAGAAGCAGAGGCCAAATGAGAAGACGTGAGCCTGTGGAAAATGAATTTCTTCTCTGGTGGGCTAGAAGAAATATTTCTCCCTGAAATCGCAGGGAAGGCTTATTCATTTCCCCGTCATGAATTCTCTCTCCTCCAGAAGGCCTATAGGAGCTGTTTATCACATTCTTTATGGGTTAGAATCAGTTAGAATAAAGTGTCTGTCCCAGATGGGTCAAGAAACTCCTTTTCTTTGAAAAGTATCTGAAACATCTTTGTCATCTCACACAGGATCTGTCCTCCTACTTAGTTCTGTTTCTAATGGTGCTTTGTGGACTCTGTGCCCCCAGAGCCCCAGCCGTGAGGGTGTCTCCTTGCAGAATGGCAACAGTTATCTGATATTATATTGTAGTAGGTCAGTCCTTAAGTGAAAACTGAGTGAGGTTTAACATTTTAATCCAAATGTATAAACATACGACAATACCAAAGCACTTTTCTAAAATGGTTTGAGATTGATAAGAGATGAAGAAACTGCATGTCTGTTATTACCAGCAAGGTCATCCTAAGGGGATGCTTTACAAGAACAGTGTGCTTATAGAATGACCAAAATGATCATAATAGGTCCCTCTTAGCCAGCACTGCTGTGTACCAGAACTGTGCCAAAACTTTGATCATTTCCAATTCTCACAAAATCCCTGCACCGGTTCCCCTTTCGTAGATGAGGAAAATGAGACTAAAGAATCAAAGCCCTGAGTTTGCTCTTTCTGTCAGGCCCTGCTGCCTCCCTCTTAAAGGTCACTGGTTACTGGTCAAGATTTCAAATGAGACTTTTAAAATGGGTGCAAAATAGGTTATCATAGAATTCAGATCGCAGCTCCCGTGCGCTGCAGGAAAGAAGGTGGTGGTGGGGTGGGGAGGGGCTGGCATTACACAGATCCTCAGGGGGCCTTGCTAACTCTATAATTCAATGAAATTCAAATACGGAAGTTCCTTATCATAGAACTGGGGTTATTATTTTAAGTCTGCCTTTTCTTTTAAAAGGTCTTTGATTGAGGGATTGAGGGAATAGAGTATAAAGCCCTTTTCTCCATTCAATACTGTGTACTTATGGGAGAAGGGTGTATTTACTTACACTCCTCTGCCTAACCAGCTCAACCTTTACATGCAAAGTTTGTACATATAATAGGATTTAGGAAGTGTTTAAGACTATTTACTCAGATTTAAAGTGAGAAGGATATTTGTATTCTATCTGTGAAGTAGTTGATATTCCTCTAGCATCAAGGCATTTAGAATAATACATTTGTTGTCCCTACAATATGAAATTTAAACGTTAGTCTTGAAAGCCACATGGAGAGTAAGTACATCTATCTTGTGGTTCAGTTGGTGAAGCTACAGCATTGCCCTGAGAGACAAAACCCTGCCTTCTTCAGTCCAATGAAACTCCTTTGCAGAGAATTTCTAATAGAATTACCCTTTCATAATATGGACTATCACTTCTCACTAAGCATATAAATGATTTGATTTAATTTAAAATCAAATGCATTGTCACACGTGCATCTGATTTACCTGGAAACAATGCAAGTCAGCATCTTTGCTTACCTTTTTAATGTTTCCATCCAAATCAAGTCAGCTTTTGAACATCTATCAGAGACCCAAGAAACTGGGACAATGAGAGTTCAAAGCTTTTAATTTCTGCCTTCTTTTCACTTAAACCTTTCACTAAAGCATTCATCAATTGGCCAAAGGGAACACTTCTTTGTTTCAGAACTTTTTTGTCTTCTCTATCTTTTGAGATGTGAGTAAGCAGGAGAGGATGAACAGGGGGTTCTTTGTGACTGCATTTTTACCTCCAAATAACAGAGACTCCCAATGGGAAGAGTACTGGGGGGCAGTGACTTTCTTTTATCACCCCCAGTTCAATGACAATGAAACAAGGGAAAAATATTTCTCAGAATATCTTCCACTGTAGCATAATAATAGAAGAGGAATTTGGAGTCAGGCCAGGGTTAAAATGCTTGCTCTGCCACTTGTGTGCCTGCATGACCTTGGACAAGTAATTAATATCTCCAAATCCCAACTTTCTTATCTTAAAATTGGGGCAATGATTTTTATCTCATTAGGGCCACAAGTGTTAAATGAGATAAAATATGCAAAGAACTCTGCAGAAAGGCCACTTGATAAAATATTAGTCCTATTTGGTCCCCCTCCAGTTTTCAAGGGTGATTTAAGAGTTTCCAGCGATATCATAATTAACTCCAAACAATCTAAAGAGGTAAGATTTCATTAAAAATCCAAATTAAAAGGAAATTTATATTAAGAAGTGTTTAGGTCAGAAGGGCATATTGAAAGGGTTCCTGAACCCATATAACTTACCTATTTTGGTGATACTGTAATCAAAACATGATTAAAAAGAGCCAATCTAAATCCTTTTGTATCTTAAGGGATGTACCCCAGCCAAATTTTTCTAATGTAATTAGAGAAACTGGAGGTTTCTATCCTGCTGCTTTTCCCTAAAGATGGACTTGTAATGAAAACTCCAGTAACATTATTAGTTCTCATCAATCTCACCAGAGCATGAACTCCAATAGTTCTGAAGTAAGTCAAACAAATTTTAAGCTGCCATTCCAGTTTTATAAGTAATGTGGTCTGTATAGACTTATCATGAAATAAGAGTGGTAAACTTTTCCAAAACACCATATTGATAATCAATTCAATGTGCATTAGAAAGAAGTATTCGGCAGGGAAAACAAGAGTCTTAATGTTCTTTTCATGAATGATAGATGTACTTTCTTAATGTTAATAAAAACTTATCAGTAGACAGAATTTCTATTTCATCAGAAAGTGAAAAAGCTTAGAGATAAATCAGTAAAATGATACTGGAAAACATTTATGTGGTTCCTTGATGTGACTTATAATAATAGTGCTTTAGGATTTAGTATTAAAATAGATGTATTAGTATTTATTCATCTTTAAGGCAGAATAGTTAGTAATATCTCCTCTGCCTTCTTCACAAGATTGTGGTGATGATAAAATTAAAACATGAATAAGAAAACTTTTATCAAATCTAAAATGCTCTTATACATAATGATAATAATAGTAATAACAATAACTATTCTAGATACAGCTCTGTGTTTTACTTCATCTTATAGAAGATTGAAAACTGTTTTTTTCTGGTGAATATAAGATCCTCATTTACTTATACTTAAAATGTTTATATTCTCTTATAAAATAATATTTATAATTTAACAATTTAGTGTTTCTTTAGATACAGTATGCCCAGACAGAAATAAGCCTAAGATAGAATTTCCAGTGCATGTGCCACTGTGATGATACCTGGAAAGCTTTGCTTATGTGAGAGTTTATGATGAAAATGTAAGTATTTCTTGAGAATCACAACTGGTGGTGTAAGTTTGTAATTAAACATAGGTTACACTACTCACTTCTGTTCCACAAACTTAAAAGATACATATCCACTAGAGTTCCTTCTCACTAAGAATCATGGAACCTTTCACGGAGTGGCAAAGGGAATGAATGGTCTTGAGCCAGTGGGATTTGGTTTCTTTAAGCTGCTGTGCACACTGCCCGCAGCTCCAGCAGGTGTCTCTCCGTGGCTCCCAGCGTGGCTGCCATCCCTCAGCTCACAGTCTTCCTGTCTCCCAGTGCTTGAACTTCAGTGTAAGGACAATCTTGGTGGAATCTTTGCTTTCCTCTATGATCTCTCCTATTGAAGAATCTCAGATCACGGTGGTCTAAACATTAAAAGCTTGCTGCAAAGTCACTGGGAATTCTCTGTCTGCCCACATGTCTGGCTTGACATGGAGAATAACAGCATCCATTTCACTTCTGTTTTCAAAGTCTAATGAGTCTCTTTTTGGCCAAATCTTACCCAGAACAATATAATGAAGAAGATTCTGGATAACTAGTTCTGTTGGGAGGGTATGTGGTTAGAGCCCAGTGGAGTGCAGATAATTCAGCACAACAGGGCCGGCATGAGGAGTTAATGAATCAAAGTGTGTAAAAGATTTAGGACATGCCTAGCACATTGGATACTGCATGACCACAGGAAACATGTAAAAGCTGAGCCTTATGAAACGGAAGTAGAAGGCTTATAAAGAGAGAATGAAATGAGATTCAAAGACAAAATGAGATGAAAAAGGAAGCTAAGGGGGGAAGTGAGCATGGTGAGACAAGGAAGAAATTCAATGACAGATTTCAATGATAGAATTAAAATTTTAATAGGAGGCACTAAAGAGCCAATTTGACACTGCAGAAAAACAGATGAAGCAGGGGCTGTGTTAGTCAGCAGTTTCTGGATTTAGTGAGAGAAATCCATCAAAGTTAGCTCATATAAAAAGTGAGAATTTATTGGTTTGCATAATTGGAAAATTCAGGCTACCTTCAGGCATAGCTGGATCCAGAGGCTCCTCGGTGTCACCAGGACCGCCCCCCACCCCTCTTCCCAGTCTCTTGGCTCTGCCGGCCTCCGCAACTTCTTTTTCAGACACTGGTTAGGTGATCTCAAGATGAGAGCTGGGGTTTTCAAAATCAAATCATCTTTACAGCAGCTCTTTCTCTCCCAGCCTCGGATCCTCCAAATGACTCTGGCCCTGCTTGGGTTTTGTCTGCTCTCTTATTAGTCCTGGCTTCCAAAGGGATGGGGCATCTCATTGGGTAGCCTGTCACACGGCCACTTTCTGTGACCAGGAAAGGTGGTTGCATTCAATAGCCCCACCAGATTACATGGAGTGAGGCAGGGGGGCAGTTTCCAGATGATAAAAAACAGTGAACACATGTCCACTACAAAGGAATAGCTTAGAAAAATGGCCCATGTTGTCATCCGCCTATGTTTAGAGATCCTTGCAGATAGAGAAAACCAGGAGCTTGCTGCTCTCAAGTGTTCCTCAGCGTAAGCTCTGTTCTTGGGGGCTCTCCCCAGGCAGCAATATTCTGGAAGAGCTGACCAGTGACCAGGTTCCTGTGTGGCTCTGGGGTATCCGCTTGTTTGAATTAGCAGCTCACGTCAATCTTAATATTTGTTTTGAGTCACCTATGCTGGCCTCTAATTTGCAATTTATGTGGATGATGGGGCCCTATTCAGAGTCCTGCTCCTGCTGCCTTTGTGCTGTTCTCCTCTCTTCACTCCATCATTAGGCTGAACAGCATATAATTAGGTAGCCCACGTACAGCTTAGATTTCAGAAAGGTTGCAGCTCTTTTCAGAAAGTAAGGGTTTCCATTTTACCCTCATTCTATTCTAAACAAAAAGACTACTCCCCCCCATGGATTTGATATGAATGCAGTAACATAGAAACAGCTATTCTTGTATGTGGGTAATAATTTTGGTTTGTTTTCACCTGAGAGTTGGTTTTTGTTTACACAGCTTGTGTTTAACTCAGAGCAGGTTGAGGTTGATTGGCCATATTTTGTGGGTGAGTGTGTTGCGTTTTGAAACCAAGAAAACTGGGTTATTTTAAATACCGAAAGATTTAAAATCTATCCAACAAAATAATTCCATTTTTAGCTTATATTTATGTTTCTTTTGGTACCTGTATGCACAAAACCTACCTGAAATTACTTGATAAGGAAAGCCTGTGAAAATAGGAATACTGAAGAAAGATTCTTGCTGAAATTATGCTAATTGTATTTAAGTTGTTCACTTGTCAGATAAGTTCATGATTTTAAATACAGTTGAAAAATAGTCTTGATGGTGAAATACACGCAAGTTCTTAAAAAGTAAACAGAAATGTATATAAATATTTCACTGAAATAAAATTATATGATGTATAGGAGGCCTATTAAAGTCTTAATGTATTATCATTTCCTTCACTTGATATTATTTTTGAAAGAACTAAGAATGTACCAATTTTTAAAATTCTGCAAGGTTGAAAAGAAAATAAGATACATTGAATTATCTAGAAGACTCATTCTTAAAGGTCAACTAGGGAATTCATTAAAATGCAGATTGTTGGGCCCCATTACAAAGGGGATGGACCTCAGAAATCTAAATTTTAAAAAGTATCCCAGATGATGCTATTGCAGGAACTTTGTAGGCAATATCAGACATATTTATTTTGTACAAAATGTAGTCAATTGTGCATTTATACAGATATTTAGTTGTATATTTCTGTGTTCTACCTTTCTGTGCCTTGAGAAAATCAAGATGAATTCCAATTTTAGAACCGTTACCATATCCTTTGCATTATAACTTTAATAGAATATAATATAATGGACAAGTTGACCAGCACTTGGTGATATTGCCAATAGAACTGCATCTGGAACATAGATGAATATTCTTTCAGCTCATGACAGATCTCAATGGTGAGATGTTGACCATTGGACATTATAGTAGTTTGCTTCTGGTCTGTTCCAATTTGTCAATCAAATTAATTTAAGTGACTGCTGTTATCTAAAGTACATTTGGCAAAACTTACATGTATTTTTCTTTTAAAATCTCTGTTTTCCGCTCTGGTTTGATAATGTCAAATGTGTATTTGGAGGATGAATATTCCTTAATACAATTGCTTTTACTTTGGGGGAGTCAAGTCATTGTAATGATTTGCTAGATAATAAAACTGTCAGTACTCATGGCTAGGATTTCCAGATGTGGGCATTTGAAGTGTCCAGTCAGAAAAGGGAGAGAAAGGTGTGGTCGGGAGAGTGAAAGCTGGAGAGTCACAGAGCCTCACACACCCTCACCCCTGGAAGGGATTTTCTGTGTTCATGTGCTGGGGCTTATCCTGTATTCACTGGGGTAGAGACTGTATGAGGGGCAAGTGAAAGCCCTTGATGAGGATATTATTTCTGTGAATATGCGCATACACACTTCCACACAATGATATGCTTATGAGGGTATTGTACATAAAATTCTATAAGATGGGTTTTGTGCTGAGGGCTTGAGCTCTCGTTGTATAAATTTCTCATGTTGTATAAATTCAGTGGATATGTAATAATGTTAGTGAGGCATAGGTATTATAAAATATATATATATATATATCTCCAAATAAATAGCTTATGGTCAGTTGGCTCTCTGAGTTGATTGTGACAAGGAAAAATAATGGACATTAAGGCTAGTGACTATATGAAATTACTAATTTCTTTTTTTTAAATCAAAACTGTCTCTTTGATCAGATTTCTTATAGAAAAGATATGCAGGACACCCATGTGTATAATGCAGAGCTCAACAGACCAGACATCAAGATGGCAACGCAGCTCTCCAAAATCATAAGCAATGTAATCGCTCTTTCTTATCTTGGGCAGAAATGATTTCTTACTTTTGCAGGAACAAAGCATGGCTTTGGTTGTTGGGTGGTTAATTTGATGAGTGAAATCAATCATCTCAGTTTTTAAATCTGAATTATTTCAATTTTTTAATATCTGAATTATTCATTTGACTCTGTAAATTATTTGGGTATTGCAGAAGCTGCCCAAACTAAACTTGACTATGGCTAGTATTATCATACTTTTAGTTTGATAAATAATATTTGAGTATAAGATGACATTCAAATGTCCCAGCTTAAAAGTGAACATTGTCAGTCATCTGGCCCTGTGTTATTTATCTCTTACCTCTCACCCTGTCCAAAGGGATTTCACTTGTCTTTGTTCTTATCTTGTTGCTGTTGATTCTGCAGATTCTGTTCTGCCAACATTTACCCTCACAGGTTTCCTATACATCATAGCTGTTTCTTTTCTTCTCTGACATCCTCCTGGATTAATATCATTTTTTTTAACATTCCTAATACCTGGTTTAAAATGATGTCTTAATTTGAACCAAATGTTTAAGTAACATAGGATATACATACTTTAAAAATTAAAAATCAGTAATTATTTTCTAACTTCTACTGTGTGTTAATTAGATAGGGTTAGATCAGTTCTTGAGACTAAACAAAGCCCTAAAAGCTATCTTGATGCAGAAGACAGAGTCTTAATTATCCATAAATTTCTGATTTTTTTCCAGTGTTTATACATAAATACGATGATGATGATGATTGGATTCATGATTCAAAATTAGTAATTATTTTACTGCAAAAATGTTGAGTTTATTTAAATAGCCTTATTATAAAAATTAATTCCTGCTTTAGTAGACAGCATTTTAGTGTTTGGTGAGCTGAAGGGAATGTTTTTTATGGACTAAGGGTTTTTTATATTTTATTTTGGCTGATGTCAGTGTAATTCTTCGTTGGAAAGTAGAAATATTTAACATTCTCTCATTTATTCATTTTAGGCAGAATACAAGAAAGGGCAAGGAGCAATGAATAAAGAGCCTGCTGTAATTGGAAGACCAGATTTTGAACATGCTGTTGAAGCTTCTAAACTTTCTAGTCAAGTAAGACTCTAGTGATGATTCCACAATGATTTTATTCAGAGATTTTGTTTCTAGCAGCACACAAAAAAATATTTTATTCTAGATAATATCTTTAATTGCAAGGGTATGCAAAGATAATGTTTCTGAAACCATTTTAGATAGGATTGCAGTAATTATAAATTCCAGTATGGAAAAAAATAAGTCCAATTTAAGCATAAAACAAAGTTTTCTGTCAGCTCAAATCCTACCTTTTTTGATGAGTTTAGCCATATTGTCACATTTCTCAGGATTTCTATAATTTAGTAGTAGTCATACCAAATAATTAGATTTTAATCTATCTGTCTATACACACACACACACATTAACTAGTAATAAAAGTATTAATTTCTTAATTTTTAAATGCTTTAGTTTTACCATTAACTAAAGAAGGGTGATGAAAATGAAGAAAACTTTGAAGTCTTATTGAAGAACATAAAACAAGATCTGAAAAAGTATAAAGACATGGCATGTTTTTGGTTGAAAGTCTCAGTAGATAAAAATTCTAGTTGTCCCCAAATTAATATATAAATGTCATGTAATTTTGAATAGATTCCAACGGTTTTTAAAAAAAAATATGGATAAATATGGATGATCTTAGAGTTTGAATGGAAAGGAAATGCCTGAGAATAGCCCTGAAAAGTACAAAAATGAAGATCAGTGAAGGAGAACTTAAGTTATGAGTTACCATAATATAAAACCACTGAAATTAAATCAGTATGGAATTGGTATGGTAAGAGATAAAATAATTAATAGAATGAAAAGGGAATCCTGAAAGAAATTCCAATATGTATAAAAACTTAGTATATGATAAAAGTGTTGGTTCAAGTCAGTGGGAGAAAGCTGAATTAGTTAATAAATGGTGCTGACATAACTGGTCATCCATCAGGGTCAAAATAAAATTGGACCTGAATCTTAAGCCATATAAAAAATGAATTCCAGATGGATTACTTATGTGAATGTAAACAATAAAATAATTTTAAAATCTTAAAAAAGAAAATCCCAGAGACTATATATATCAAACAGGGATAACAGAGTTGTTTTTAAATAAGACCAGATATGCAGAAGCTATAAAAGAATAGTTAGATATAGTTGACTATGTAAAAATTTAAAACTATTTTGATGGAAAAAAAATAACATTTACAAAGTTAACAATAATGATACCAAACAGTAAGTTTTATACACTTAAAATGTTTTCAACTTCAAAAATGTCCCTTTCCCAAGTTGCAAAGTCCTAATTACATTTCACAGTGAAGATATATAAATGAGTAAAACTATAAAATATAACTGAAGAACATAAAATGATAGAATTTATATTGAAAATAAAGTGTTTGGGAATAACTTTTTAAATATAAAAAGAAGAGCAGTGGTCTTCAAATATTTGGAAAAATATATGTAATGCATATGATGACAACATTTTAATACTTAGAATACACAAAAGTTCTTTCATATTAAAAAGAAAAGCACTAACAGCCTGGTAGAAAAATGAGCAAAGGAGGTGATGAGGCAGCTCACAAAAGAGCAAATATAAATAGAGAATAAACATTGGAAAAGATGCTCATATTTATTTGTAGAAATGGAAATGCAATAACATAAAAACAAAGTGTTGTTTACACCCATCTCGTTCTGGGAGTGTGGAGAGGACATGCATGAGGTGGGGGATAAGCACAGAGGTCTGTGGAGGAGGTGGATTTGAGCTAAGTTGCACTTAGAAAGCTGTGCTCCCAGGAGGACCCCCCAAAACGTTTGGGAACGTGCACGGTGGAGGTGAGAGATCTGACGCCAGAGGCAGATGACCGAGCAGAGATGCAGGTCCTAAATACACGTGGAAGTTTGGGAGGAGTGGCAATGCTGTGTGATGATAAATGGGCAGTGTTCTATTCCTTTGGACTACAGGCCATACTTACAGGCTGGAGTAGGAATAATGTGTCCTAAAAAAGAAAGTGGTTTCGGGATATATTAATGGGGAGCTTTTTAGAGTTGAATTCAGAGAAGGAGTCCCTGGCGCCACTTCTCACCATTTTAACTGTCATCTCTCAAGTAGCCTCTCCTTTTAGGTAAGAAATGTGTTTTCACAGATTATGAATGCAGGAGCCCTCACAGGCAAATACGTGCATAGAGAGGAAGTGATTTAGGGAAGCAGGAAGAGTGGGGGCAGGGTGCAGGAAGAAAAGATGAGAAGGCGCCGGGAGGCCTGTGAGAGAGAAGGTGATGACGAGTGAGGCAGCGCTCACGGCACGGGATGATGGGGCCTGTCTGATGAAAGGATGAGGAAGCCAGTGGGCAGAGTTCTCCCCTTTTACCTGTAAATTGAGCTCTGTGGGACTGGACCCAGAAAAGGCAATGGAAATAGATACAAAACCCTTCCAATGTTACCTTGTGCAATTGTTTTGCTCCCGTACCCGTAATGTTGCCTTTTTTAAAACCTAGAGGGACATAAAATTACAGCCAAATAATTAAAAGAAAATCAGTAAAAAGTGAAGCAAATTTCATGTGCCAAGATAAAGAGATTGGTGTATGTATTTGTAAGTATCTCAATCGTAAGTGTAGTAACTGTTGAAATCATCAGCTTAAAAAATTCTTGTAAGAGTGGTTAATTTGTTAATATATCCATATATCATCTTAATTTATTTCATAGAATTTGTCTATATGAGGAATGGGATTCTTTAGTTTTGTAATATCCAGGAAAAATTTGTATTTATAATAATTAGTATTTGTTCTAAAATTTCATTTGATTTATCAATAAGAATGTGTTTTAAACCTAAAAATTACATTTTACTTAGCTGTTAACACTTACAAATAAGCATTGTTTTTAAATTGTAAGGGGTATTAATTCACTCAGAGAGCGTGCCACTCACCCTTCCTGGCAAGCGCTCTGCCCACCACCCTTTTTGCACTCAAGTGTTGGCTTAAATGTTACATCCTTGATTCGCCACTTAAATTGCCTCTCTTATATCTGTTTCTTTATAGTTCTTAACCCAATGTTTAATATTCATGCATATGTATATGCATGTTTTAAATATCTACCTCATTTACCACACAGCGGGCTCCTTGGGAACAGGGTTTATATGCATTTAATCCACCATTATAAAATAGCACGGATTAGCCATTCAATAAATATACATAGATAGATTAAACAGATTCCTCTAGATCATCCACATTGGGTGCAAAGTTAGTAAGATATTAGTTTGTTATGAAAATGAGAACAGAGATAATATTTTGTCTAAAATTCAGACTTAAAAATATTACTGATTTTCTAATTAGTTTTATATAAAAGTCTTACTCTCTTGCTTGGCAGAATTTAATGCAGTTTTATCCAGAATTGGAAGGAATTGATGCCTATAGATACGTGGCACTGCGCTTTTTGTTTTCACTGATAATTGAGGTATAGTTGCCAAATTTTCCATCTCTTTTCAAACATTTGTTTCCATAGCCATGAATGAAAAGCTTTTGTTCAGGGTCCGCTTTTCTCCTGCCTCTTCCGGCTATTGGTGAGTCGGAGCTGTAGGTGTTGCCACGCGGCCCGGCTCCCCTTGTGGTGAAAGCTCTGAACTGGGAGCAGCAGTCTGTCCGAACCACCGCCGCCCTGTCCAGAGGCAGCGCAGAGGAACTAGTTGAAATTATATCACTGTTTAACAGTTTCAGTGTTTTCTCCAAGGGTGGGCCTCTGAAAGTCCTGCTAAGTCCGTTAACATTTTTATAAAACTTAGGAGTTGGATATTAAATTAAACTATTCTATATTTTTTAAAAAATTGGTAGATATCAGGATCATTAGACATGATATTCACCAATTAAATAAAATAGGTCATAGGTGTCACTTTTACTTGTTTCTGAAATAATTGATTTGGATACAACGGGCAACATTGTGTCTTAGAACCATAGCAGAGTCACCCAACACCTCTTTCTTTCTCAAGTGGTCTTAAAACTGGAGGTTCTTTGTTCCATGATCGAGTCACCAGTTATAATCAAAGGAAAGCATTGCCTTGATCCCCTGGGAGACGTGAGTGTGCCTGAAGAGGTAGACACTCAGATGTGTGAACTGTGGGTTGAAAATAGGAGAGAACGTTGGGTGCACTCGTATATCATTTGTGAGTGAACCAGTCAGAAGGTGATAGATAGGAGCCATTTAATCATTTGGCTATTACCTTAGTTTACTTATGTGCAAACTTTACAGAAAGAGTAAGAAATAGCTGGGTGTCAGTGTCTGGTAAAGGTATTTTTTAATGTAATGCAGTTATTTTACTTTGAGGTTAATTAATGAGGGAATTTCTTGCATATTTCTTTCTTAGGCACTTTTGAATCAAATCACGCAGAGTGCTGAAGGTTAGAGTAAGATAAATTTCACAACACTTTGCTCATTATTACATTCATTATAAGGATATAAATGACAGATATACTTTAAATAATTAATCTCACACTACAGAAATAACCTAGAAAGGTTAGACAGCATTTTAAAATTCAAATTTTAAGGTGTATAGCCTAATGCATAACAGTGGTAGAAATCTTCAAGTGTAAAGTTCTCATTAAAATCTATTACAGATCTATTGTAACATTTTATTTTAACGTAGAAACCATATGTGCCCATTTATTCACCAACTTTTTGATGTAGTGACAAGGCTTTTTCTTGGCAAATGAATCTTTTTGGAGTTTTGTGTTGTTTTTCTTGCAAACCATACTCCCATTGCATTGTTTATGATTTACATTTTGAAAGACATTTTGTTAAAGGTTTATTGCTAATCTATCTGAGCTCTAGAACCTTCTAGATTTTTTATACCCCCTTTCCAACATTTCTGGTTGTCTTGACTACTCTTAATTTGACAACAATTTCTTTGTAGGGAATTGCCTTCATGAAGTCTTTCAGAGAAATAACATAGTTTTCATAGAAATAATAATATTCTTTTTACAGTAAATTTGTCAGTGTTCACAATATTAAATAACATTATGTAATTATAGTAAGTATAACCAGCATAAACAGGATTAAAGACAAACTCAGTTGACTCTTAGGCAGCTTACAACATACCCAGCAGAGGCAGAAATCACACACTTCTAAACCATTTTGTGTGTGATTCAATCAGATTTGCTTTGGAAAGAGATTACTGACTCCAGTCTTGACGGAGTGTGTCTGGGTCATATCACTGTTCCCAGCCTCATAGTAGGCACTCAACACCAGCTTAATGTTTAATGAGTAGAGGATGGAAAGAAGCATTACAACTTGAATTGATTATTGCTTTTCAGAAATATGCTTTACTCAGAAAGGGCGAGTGCCAGGTTTGATGACAGATGAAAATTTGTCAGGTTAATTTTCAAGTAACACCCCCCACCCCCCTGTTGCCTCTGCTACTAGTGTAATTGTGCTGGGACTATAGGGTGCATAGAGACAGTACGTTGGGCTCTGTGAGCACAAGGTTATATAACCTATATTTGCCATTTAGCTAATACATAACTAAGACAGTCATGGTGTCTGAGGTTGGAGAATATAAGTAACTGAAAGAATGCTTGGTGCAAGGCCACAGAACGTAGCAGGATCAGTTGATTAGTTCAACAGCTACCAGCCGAGAGTGTTTAAGGCACTGTGGCCCTCAGTCAGAATGTTTTCCTCAGTAAGTAGAGCGCGTTGGTGAGCCTGGCTGAGTCAGGAGTTCCATTCAAGCAGAAGACAGTTAAGCTGGCCCACCGTCATTGTCCATTGAATAGCCTTTAGGTGCTAAACAGCTAGAGAGAAACAAAACCATCAATTAAAATATTTTGTATAGTTCCCTAGCAGAGGAGTGTAGAGTGTGCAAAGGCAGTGAAGTTGTGTGTTTTGGGAAGGGCTGGGTAGCGAAAACCTTTGCTTTGGGGTCAGCTCCTGTGGAAAATAGTGAACAAGCTCTAAATTTATTCCATTGGTGATACTGTCTCTGATTTCAAGACATAAAATAATTTTTTAAATCAGAATTTTTCTTGTTTTTGAGAGACCTCATCAAATAATTAGAATAAATGAGGTTTTGCTTGAATTTATAAGGTAATGTGGGTATCAGAAAGTTGTTATTAGCAGATGGAGCCACGAGCGAAAATATTTCCTGTAAACCATCTTGAAATATTTTCCAAATATATTCCCACCAGAAATTTTACTAGCTCTCTCCTGTAGTTTCCAGGCACATATTCCTGTGGGAGACGGTCACCCAATACACACTCAGTTAACCAGCCATCCCCCCTCCCCACAATAAAATAAGAGAGGGAAAGTAAATAAATAAATAGCCATCCATAAATTGCTTTTCCATTAGAACTTTTTTCCTATTTTTTTATTGTTCAAATATATTTGTCTCCGTTTTTCTGCCACCACTTTCCCTTGCCCCACCCTCTAATAAAAACTTCTTTAAGGTATAGCCTTAATATGTTTGAATAAAGGTGCATTATGAGGATGTTGTAAGAAAACAATATTATAAGAATTATAATGTAAAAAATATTATAAGGGAACAAAACAGCCTACTTTTGCTTTTGAAGTCTGTGTATCCTTTCCTGGCTACAGCACTCAGGGGATGTGAGGGTCAAGCAATTAGTTTTTTGTTTGTTTATTTGTTTATTTTTGGTAAAGAACTTTCTATTCCAGTTAGTTATCATAATGTCCATTCACATATTTCTCTATCTATGGAGAAAAATACAGTTCTATAAACTACTTGGTAATCCTTTATTTGGTTGCCTTAAGATTACTTATTTAAAAAAGAGAAAAATAATTTAGAATCAACATTAGACATAGTTTTTCTGCTGAATACAACTGTGGAGTTAAAGCGGAGGAACAAAAAAATGACATTAATAGACCCAATATACTTCAGAAAATATAGTCCCTAAATATGAATTTTTAACAAATGGGAAATGATGAGAAGAACCATGGTACAAAGTATGTCCTGTATTTAGCATAATCCCTCAGGAAAATTTATATTCAAATTCTGGGGCTTCTAAATGTGAAAAACTAATTCACTTATGGTCTAAAATTCTAATTAATCATAGATTATAGGAACACAGAAAAGGAAAGTGACATATAAAAATCCTGAGATTTTAGTGCATAATTCTTGTTAATAGGATTTGAGTTCATGCCTAATTGCATTTATGATCAATGTTCAAGTAGAGGTTTTTTTTTAAATAAAAAATTATGCCTAATTAAACTTTATATGGGTGAAAAATACCAGGAATTTTAAACTTTGCTATCATTTGTTTTTAAGGTAGCTTTTATCTGATCTAATTACAAATCACATGTGTTATTTCAAAAGCTTAAAAGTAAATGTGGTACTAAATCTATCCTATCTTTTTCTTTTATGACAGATTAAGTACAAAGAAAAATTTGATAATGAAATGAAGGATAAGAAACATCACTATAATCCCCTTGAAAGTGTTTCTTTCAAGCAAAGTCAGCTTGCCACTGAACTGGCAAGTAATGTAAGTTATTTAGTGTCTCATGACTTATAATTCATAGAAAATTACTTTCAGTATCTTTTGATTCTTGTTGCCTCAGAACTGGCTGTGTTGTAATTAAACAAAATCATGTAATTTTTAAGCAGTTTTAGTTGAAAACACTGAAGTATATTTTCCTGAAGCTTTTTTTTGAGAAAAATGTATTATTATAACTTACTCTTAATGGTTACTAATTAGTTGATAAATAAGGATAATATTGCTAATAAAACTATTATATCTGGTCATGAGTACAAGTAGGTTACAGTTTTGCAGAAAAGTACTGTGTAGTGTCATCAATTAGTGACTATGACAGTAGTTAACTCATACAATAATACCCACAAAATGAAGCTTATTGTAAAGTGCTACCTGGTACATGGTAGTTTATCATAAAGAAATTTTCGGAAATTGTACTTATAATGACTTACAATTTCTTTCTTATCCATTATGTAAATGATGTAATAATTCTTTACAAGATTTGTTTTTTTAAGTGTGTTTAAAAATAACCAAGTTTCAATGTACAAGAAAAGATGCCTTAAATTTTTATTAGAATTAGAGTACAAAAACAAACATGGGAAAAAACTTATCATTTTGCTCTTGTCACAGAATGTATAGAGTACCTTTTCAAGTATTAAGATTAATTATTGCTGAACTATTGCTTTGATAGGTCATTTAAACATTTCAACTTCTGTCACATCTTGGGGCATATATCTTTTATTATTTTTCTGAAGGTATTGATATTTGTATTCATTTACCAACTTTTATCACCAGAAATTGAAATGGTTGTTTCTGTTGTTTAGGATCACTAGGAGTATCAGAATGATTTTTTTCTCCCCTCCCTTCCCCTCCCCTCCCTTCCCTTCCCTTTTTCCTTCTCTTCTCTTAACATTTCTTTTTTGGGTGTGGGTAAAACGTAAAGCAAATAGAGTTGGAGTATGTGTAAAGGAACCTAAAGCATAGTGCTGAAAACACAAGGTTTAGAATCAGGTTGTCTAGATTTGAACCCTGCTCTCTCTCTTAATATTATATCTTCATCTTTCTATGCCTCAGTTTTCTCATGTGTAAAATGGGAGATACTTAAAGTATTGTATCTACCTACTAGGGTTTTTTATGGAGCATTTAGAAAAGTGTGTGGCACTTTTCCAAACATATGAAGTATTTAGAAGGGTGGCACACATTAAGTGCTCAGTATATTTTCTATTATTAATATTTTGTAATTACAATTACTGATATTATTAAATTTCCAATGCAGTTGGTAAAATAAGGTCTGTATGGCAATAGCATAAAAAATACCAAAAGCTCCCAAATTGCCACAAAGCATAATCAAAATACATTTCCATTTATGTTTTGAAAGCAGAGTTTCTGTTAAAATTACTCAAGTGTGCTAACATCACTGCTTTTGAATATGTAAACAATAAAAGTATCAAAATATTTTCAACTCCCTAGAACTTTTAAAAATGTATTCAATAGTAAATGAGCACCATCTAGTGGCTACTTGCATACTCATCTGTCAATTTACCACTAACTAGTACTTTATGGTGTGTTAAACATGGTAATTGGCAATAATGCCAAAGCATAGTATTTTCTCCTCCTAGATAGTATTTTGTTTCATGTTATTTTCTTAGGTGAAGTACAAGAAAGACATCCAAAATATGCATGATCCAGTTTCAGATCTCCCAACCTTGTTTTTGGACCATGCTTTGAAAGTCAGCAAAATGCTCAGCGGAGTAAGTGGGTTGTTTGATGGCAGCTGTCGCTGTCGTGTGGCTCCTCCCTCCAGCCGCTACGCCTGCAGTGCTGTTGGGCGCACCTGCTTCCCTAGGCACGTGCCTGGGCGTCAGTCCTCCCCGAAAAACTAACTCGTGGAAAAGTAGTGGACTGCTCATTTACATCCCACCAAAGCTGCTGCTTTACAAAAGGTTTTTTTTTTTTTTTTTTTTTTTTTGCCTACTCTTTAATATCTTGCAAATGCAAACTATCTGTTGAACAACTATTCTTCAAAGTGTTTGGGCGTGTGTTCATTCTGCCTTTCTTTTTTCCTTTTCTCCTTCCGTGTTGGGTTCAAGGCTTTAGAACAAAGTTCAGGCTCTTAAGTCAGAGATCTTTGATTTTATGCAGGCCACGGCAGAGTATCTGGTATTTAATAGGCCTCTGTAACATAAAAAATGGTCTTAGTCTAATTTGCATTTTCTCTTAAAATGAGTTCTAACGGTGTTTTCGTCGTCACTATATTTTTAGTCTTGTGAAGGTTCCTCTGTTTTTTGCAATGCTACTAGGAAGGGAGGGTGATTTCTTTACGTCCTGCCGAAAATGTTTGAATGCATTGCCGAGTGGCTCATTCCATCAGAACTCACCTCCTGGGACGCTGTTTCAAACACTCAGTGACATCGTCGATGCTTATAACTGATGTTCTGGCTCACCTGTCCCTCCATTTCCTGCATCCCAGAATACCCCATGGTGGTGATGAACTCTAATTTGACCTCAGGTTATTTCTCTGCCCATTTTAATAATTACTCACTCAAAATTACCCAAATTTATTGAATACCTGCTTTGGGCCAGCTACAGAGCAGATGGAAGTGTGTTGGGCAAGTACTGCAGAAAAGTGCGAAGAGTTGTCTTCAGGAAGTGTCCCACAATTGTGGGTCAAAAAAACAAACAAACAAACCCAAACAACCTGTAAGCAAAACCTGGTTCCCAAACTATTAAATAATGAAGTGTCACTTCAGTGCAGGTGCGAGAATATCTACCCCTGGCTTCGATGTTTTGAAACTTGTGTTCACTATGTTGTGACCCTCCTTCCCTCACCGCCACTGCTGCCGTCCTTCTTGCAATGCACTATGCGTGTAGAGAATTCATACTCTTGGAGAGGTTTAAATTAAATAATTAATTAATTTTTACCGCTGTTCTGCGGAGGAAAAGCAGCCCATCATTCTGTCCAGCCTGTTGAGCAGAGAGTGAAATTAGAGGGCTGGCAGGCCCAGAATTAGACTCGTCCCGGGACACTTAATCCCTGCTGTCCTGCTGTCCCAGTGCCGTCTCTGACCCTCTGCACACATCCCTCTGTTCCTTGAGCGTCTGTCTCAGTTTGGGGTGTTCCTCCGTACCTCATACGTAGGCTTCTTAAATCCAATGTGTGTCTTTATTCACATATGGCCTTTGTCCAGTTTCGATCCTCGCACTGGCATTTTGCTTTTGACTATCCCTCACCCACACTTCCGTTAAATTTCCTTAGGATGTGGGGATTCATGTGTAAATAAGCCAATAAAAATATCTTGGCAGTAATTAAAAAATTTGGTAGCTGAAAGAAAGCATGCCACTCATAGGCAATATTTCTTTTCAAGAATATTGACCTTTATTTTATAGTAATGGTGAAAAATCATAGTTTAAATTGTTTCTTATCATCTTTTCCACAGAGAAAACCCAGCAAAGTTATATATAAATTTATTTTATATACCATTTATAAAGTTTAAATATTTGTTTAAGTGATGCCTTTGCCTAGATTGATTATAGACATTTTGCCCCATAGTAGAATTGTGACTTAGTGGTTACTTCATGGGAGAGAAAGTTTGTCTCAAAAGTGTGTTACTGTGAGGTATCTATTTATTAAAGCTGTGTGATAATATATTGGCTCAGATTTATTGTACATTAGAATTGCCTTTTAATTTTTTAAAATTTTAATGTAAAGAGAATTGGAGTTTTGTAGATTTATAAAGGCAAATTAATTTTATTAAAATATTCAACAAGAGATGTTTAATAAAAAGACATTCTGCCAGAATTAGTTGTCAGTTTGTTATAAATGGCTGTTAAATGTCTTTGATGTAAATCATAATTTTTTATTTTAATGCATAGTGTATAGAGTGAAATTAGTGTTTGTGAGTTTTTGAGCTATACTAATTAAATTTTTGAGGGAACATTTATCGCTGGAAAATTGAGCTCTTAATAGCTTATAATTTCTTTCATAACTGTGTAAGTTAAAACTATATATTGTGTGTTATTCTGTGTAACTCCCACTAGGAGGCAACAGAGACTATTATATAAGGAACAGCAAATAGTAAAAGTTCTTTTGCAGATCTTAATTCAAATAGGTTTTGTTTGCTTATTTTATTTTATTTTTTAAACATAGTTTCTGAAACCCTATGTAACTATAATAGATCATTGCTTTGGGGATAATATTTATTGGCCTTTTCCAGGACATATTTATTGTTGCAGACATAATATCCTAGACTTTATTAGTTCTGGATTCTAACTCAGTCTGGAATATGTTTTAGCTTGTTGCATTCAATTCATGATTATTTTATGAACATATAACATAACTTGTAATCAAAATATAAAGTCTCTAAGTACAGCTTTGTCCTTTGATATTATTATTATTATTTTTTTAAATTAACAGAGGAGCCAAAATTTAGAACTTGTTCTCTTCCGTCAAAGTATACTACGTGAACATTGTCATGCACTTTCTGGGGCCTTTTTCTTCTTTACTTTATTCTGGTTAGGGCTTTGGGAGACACATATCACTCCAATTGCCTGGAAGTACCTCTGGGGACCATTGCTCTGACTCCATGGTATAGCAGTTCTCACGTGCACCCCTTCCATCCTTGGCATTGGGGCTTCTTCCTATTTCACTCTCAGATATCGGGCCATCTGCTGAGACCCAGTGTCAATTTCATTATGACAGATCCTTCCTGCTCCCTTTCGAGTGCTGCTCACCTCTCCCTCTCCTTCCACTCTGCACAAAATGGCCATTGTCACTGAAATCCTTATTGCCTGATGAACAACCAACTGCAGATTGTCTCTGTAGCCTTAAGTCTTTGAGAGTTACTGTTTGTCTCTAAAAGTCTTTTGTAAGTAGGGCAAAATAACTAAGTGTCCAATATCCAATTATCAAAATTATAAAGTAAGTTTTGTCTTATTGCTGACTATTTTACTTAAACACCTATAGTTGCCAAATTTGGCATTCTTATCCATTCTGGTCTCTTCCAAATTCACCTTTTTGTCTGTGTGTCTAAGTAGTTTTAGTGCAGTTTCTTTACCTTAAAAATTCAACCAACTATGCTCAGATTCCTTAATTTGTCCCCCCACACACCTCCCAACCTCTCCTTTTAGGAATATTAGGTGGATCGTTTCTCATTCTCTCATTTTCCTTATGACCATCCACCTTCTGCATGGCTGAGCCCTTGTATACAACTTTTTTTCTCTCTGCCTCCTACTTTCCTCTCTTCTTTCTTCCTTTCCTTTCTCATCTTCTTGGAGACATAATTACACACCTACCTGTTCTAGGATAAGGGTGGGACAAGTTGCCTCCATTTTGCCCACCTTACCTATACACTCTAGTCCTGTGCTTAGCTTTTCTGTTGCCACTCCCCAGCGTTGTGAGTGTCTTTTATGTTGTGTTTACAACTAATTGCCCTCTGCTTCTTGTGGGTGTTTTATATGCTACTCACATTGACCACCTAGAGCTGGTTTATCTTGTATTCTCAGTTATCTCGCTGATAGAAACACCAGTCGACTGCGGATGGCAACTTTACAGCTCTTGTTGGCTTGATTTTTTCACTTTGCATTCCTAAATATTAGTTCCTCTGATTTGCCTCTTTTATTCTGAATTTGAAATTTTCATGTTCTCTTTTTTAGCGAGAATATAGGAAACTCTTTGAGGAAAACAAAGGAACGTATCATTTTGATGCCGACGCTGCAGAACACCTGCACCACAAAGGCAATGCCACTCTCCAGAGTCAGGTGTGTGCCCTCCCTGCCTGGACCGTGGAACCGCTCACTGCCGTGCACCTGTCCTAGAATGTGAAGCTGCTGAAAAGCATGGGCAGAGACAGTGAATGTTGCTTCCAAAAATCTCAAACACTATTCTCTCAGTATTTTTGAGTTTGGGAAACTTGGACCATGTTTTAATGTAAAAGTATTTTGTAAGATAACGGTAACGTCACACAATTTAAAACTTGCACTATATGAGTTAATTAAATGATCAAACTTCATGATGATTTCAATTTTTATAGTGTACTGATTTTTCATTTTGTACATTTTTCATTTTTCATTTTGTGCAATATTAATTTTCCAGGCACAAAATTTATTATAGTGTCTCAGTTCAATTGTAAGTGTTATGAAAATGGGGAAACCATTTTACCAGTGTATTCTACATTGTTTCTTTCAACTATGAAATTCTGTGTTCTACATAAAACAAATTAAAAATTTTCCTCCTTTGCACACTTTAAAGTTGATATCTATATATTTTTTGTTCTGCATTTCAGTAGTTTCAAAATATGTCATTCAAACATCTATTAAATCAAATTTTGCATCACTCTTTTAAATGTATCCTGTGGAACATACATTTGATAATTGATTTAACAGCCACCTTCATTATTTTAAAAAATACACAAATGGCTCTCCTTTAATGTCTGGAGATGGACCATTTTTTAAATTTTCTCTTTGTGCTCTTAGTTTTATTTTATTTTTCCTGCAAAATTTTACCCTAATGAAGTATATTATTATATTCAAACACTTTCGTTGATCGCTCTGTCATACTTCTCTGAAACAAAAATATACCTACAAATAGGAATTTTAAAATTTGTTGTTTCCTGGTGCCATAAAATTCTAAGTATTGAAAATTTCTTTTGGATTTAATTATCATTAAATAATTATTATTATACCACCTAATAAATAATTTTATAAATAATACCCTGGCTAGTGTGGCTCAATGGATTGAGTGCCAGCCTGCAAACCAAAAGGTCACTGGTTTGATTCCCAGTCAGGGCATGTGCCTGGTTGTAGGCCAGGTCCCCATAGGGAGCACACAAGAGGCAACCACACATTGATGTTTCTCTCCTTCTCTTTCTCTCTTCCCCCTCTCTAAAAATAAATAAATAACATTAAAAAAATAATTTTATTAACAATTATTAAATATAAGAATTTAAATGAAAATACATTTTTGAGTGAAATGAGTCATGATTAAAACTATTTTTGTTATTAGTAGATGGAAAATATCAATCAATTTATAAACTAAAATAAGGATTGGTTATAATTGAAATAAAGAATTCATGATATTATTAAATAATGCCTAGTGAAACTGAAAGAAATTACATAAAAGCTCTATGTAGTTTTACTTAATGTCTATGGAAAAATTCAGCAGTCCCAGAGAACACTGTGCTTCCTTTGACAGAGAGATGGAGAATCACAACTATGTTTTCTTTCTTGTTCATGATTTACTGAGAGACATTCCGGCTATCACAGGGATCTCTCTCTCCCCCGCTTCTCTCTTTATATATGTGTATACCATGTGTATATACATTTATTATCTCATGTATATAATATATCTCTATATATCCCAGCTTATTCAAGTCCTAGAACTACATTATTTAGTAGTTCTAAGTTGTTTTTATTTCTTAAAAACTTTTAAAATATATTTCCTGTTTACTTTATTTGTATGTCATTAACTACAGGGAACCTAGGGATCAACCTCAATGGCCAGAACAATGTGATTTTTAGAAAACAGGGTGATGCCCTGACTGGTGTGGCTCAGTTGGTTGGGCATTGTCCTGCAAAGCAAAAGGTCATAGGTTCTATTCGTGGTCAGGGCACGTGCCCGGGTTGCGGTTTGTCACTGGATGGGAAGTGTGAGAGAGGCAACTGATCCGTGTTTCATTTTCACATTGATGTTTCTATTTCTTTCTCCCTTCCCTCTCCTCTCTCTAAAAATAAGTAAATAAAATCTAAAAAAATAACTAAATAGAAGAAAACAGGATGATTAATTTGGGACATATTTATTTTACTTTGCTCTATTTGGATAAGGGCTTGTGAGCTTTATGTTTTTTATACTTTTTTTTCATGAAGGTTAAGTACAAAGAAGAATATGAGAAAAATAAGGGGAAATCGATGCTTGAATTTGTTGAGACACCATCATATCAAGCTTCAAAGGAGGCTCAGAAGATGCAAAGTGAGGTGAGTTCCTTTGATTTGTTATCAACTGTTCAACACATATTTGATGTTTTATCACTTGAAAGGAATCAGGAAAGGGGTTCAGAGTGTTTAGTGGGTCTTGAGGACCCTGCACAGGAAGACCAGGGAATCCACAGTCTGGAGCCAGGCAGTTTGTCTGGGTCATTGGGATCCTCTGGCCCTTTGTTTTTCCTATTTGGCAAGTATGGATATGAGGCCCTGTGAACCCTTAACGTCCCTCTCAGCACCCATATTCTGTGATTATAAAATTGACACTTTTAGGCGTGTCCATGTAAAAGCTTTGATGAGTAGATAAAAAATGAATAGAAAAAAGAACTAATTGCTTTATTTACCTATTTTTTAGCAATGACAATAAAGTTAACATTTATTTAGTATTGCTAAGTAATCTGTATTAAGTAATATGCTAAGTATTTTAACTATGTCAGCTCATTTAATCCTCTGAAGGTAATGCAATGATGCCAGGTAGATATCTTTAGATTGGAACTGATTCTTCTGAAAGTAGTTGTTTTACCCGAAATTACATATCCAGTAAATGCCAGTGTTTTAGGACCTGGGCAAAGTCATCAGTTTTTGGTTTTGGTTTTGTTTTTTCCACTTACCCACTGTGTTTTCAACTTAGGACAATACTAAGTCACATCCACATATTCACCACACTGGCTCTGCTCTGCCCCAGTAAACTTTCTTCTGTTTCTGGTTTGCTTGGGGGTAGAGGTGGGGAAGAGATGCCAGACACAGAAAGTTTTGTCTGCAGCCAACATCCCAGTTCTGTAAATACAACCAGGTTATTCCTTCAAAGGATTAGAAATAATGGGCAGCGGTATTGGCCAATTACTACGCCGGTGCACCACTCCAGGAAGGCTCAATGGACAAGGCCGTTCCTGTTCACCACCACCAACAGGGAAACAAGGAGAAATGATACCTTCTGGACAATAAATCTCTCACTGGAATTTAAAAACATTAAATGTGCTATTTGTTGAGCTACTGTAATTCATCTTCTCAGGGAAAGGGCTCTCAGGCACTACGGTGGCTTGTTGAATAATCTTAAACGGTTTAATTTTTTCTCCAAGCAAGAGAAGGGAAAATAATTATGTTTTTATATTTTACATCTTCTTAAGCCAATTAAACCCCTCTTCCCCAGAACATACAGATATTTGCTTCTCAAAGAATCAATGGGCAAAAAATACTAAATTGTCTTTATTTACATGAATTGCTCAGACGACTTTTTTTCTCCGGTGAGGGGCCCTGACAAGAGAAGAAATTCCCAGAGTACAAATTTCCCTACACAGATGACAGGGGCTTCAAAGGCGCCCTCAGCACTGAAAAAGCGCTACAAATTCTATGTGGCATGTCTCCTTGTACAGGTCTTGAAGCCTGATAGCTAGTGCTTGGCTTTTCTAATCCCGGTGGCCCCACAGAACAAAAGGAAAATTAAATGGTGAGAGATGACCACCCCCCCAAAAATAAATAAATAAATCAGTCAAAATTCATTGCTGTTGGTTGGCTGTTTTGACATCAGGTGTAAAGCAGCTTTAATGTTTAATTGTAGTTTTGTATTTAATATATGATCAAGAATTCACTTACAGTGGGGCCTGTGCACACCTCTTGTTAATATTGGCTTTCAAATTTTGCTATTCCAATTTCTGGTATTGCTACAGGGAGGAATTGCCCTTTACAGAAACTAAGACACGCTTCCCTTCAATCATAGTCATTGACAATTCGATTTTTAGGCCTGCCATTATGTTTCTGCTCACAGGGCTTGAGGAGAAAGAAATCTTCAAATAGAAAATATCTTCGGGCCAAATTTACACTATAAAGATTTATACTATGTAATTTAGTATATAAATTTCATGCTAGAAAAATAAATTGTCTGAACATCTTAGATAACGTTAGATATGAAAGATGTATTTACATGCAAGACCAATGAAGTGGATACAAAGAAGTGGTTTTTCCTTGTAAGAGGTAAACTTGACCAGAAGCTACTTTGGGAGCCTCCTATGAGTAAAGCTAAGTATTGATGAACTACGGAAAAGCCACTCATGTTTTGGTTATAGCCTATAATTATGCCTCTCTTGCTTTCTTCTACTGACAGATATAGGATGAATCAGTATGCTCACCAGAAGAAATCTCTAAATCCTAGAAGAAATCTCTAAATATGGTTTTGAAAAGCTCTTTGTCTTCTGTTTCACAAATAGAGCTCCCCTAACAAAAAACTACAAAGAGTTTTTTCCCTCTTAGTCAGGTATCGACCAGGTCTACTTATAATCAACTTAAGTTAGTAAAATACTTTTTTTTTTTTTAGAGGAGAAAGGCTTTTTGAAGTGAAATATTTGAGACAATATCAATACACACATATTTATATTTCACTTTTTTAAAGAGTCATTTTTGGCCTGGAAATGTCCCAGTTTCAGCCCTATAGAACAACTTCTCATTATTGTTCTTCAGTGTGCCTATAGCTCCTTTAATTCAGAATGTTTTCAATGCAACTTATTGATTTACTTTGTTAATTTTAGTATTTACAGAACATCAAAGGGAAGAACAGAGGGGGTAACGGGAGGAAGAAGGGGAATGGCCAGGTCAAGGAACATGTATTAAGGACCCATGGACAAAGAAAAGGGGTGGGGGAGGATTAAATGTGGGAAGTGGGGGGGTGGGTGGGGCAGGGGAGAATAATGGGGGAAAAATGGGAACAACCGTAATTAAAGAACAATAATTTTTTTTAAAGGAAAAAAGAATAATTTATCAGGTTCAAGGTAAGATTTTCCACACAGTATAGGTTGGTTGATATCAAACGCCACAGATGGTAGAGATATATTCGCAATGCCAACTCATTAAAGGAAACTCTTCTCTCCCTGCCACCATTACATTTTAGAAATGGTCTTTCCTGAATTCACAAAATACAGGCAGTGTGAGGGGTGATGAAAACATGAATATTAATACTGCTTTGATTGAAATGGGCTCCTCTGCTGCCAGATTTTCTTCTAGTGGATGGATCCACTCTTCTGAGTGAACCAGTCAGGTGACCCAATCACATAGCCAACTTTATTGGTTTTCCTCCCCAAGTGGGCTAGTGTGAAACAATAGCAAACCATAAGATGTCAAGCAACCTCACTCAGAAGGCTTTATCAGAAGGGAGCTGGTACTTGAAGATTTTGCTGTTGTTTGGTAGAATTCCAAAATATATGGTAAAGTTGGACTGGCTTTCCTGCTAATAAGAAGACTGTGGGGTGATAGAATTACATAAAGAAAATATCAATTTTGTTCTGGGGACTCTTGTTCAAATACCTTTTCAACAGTCACTAGTTTTGCTAGTTTAAAAATTATGTGGTCTTATTTAACAGAGAATTTACAGAGAGGATTTTGAGAAAGAGATTAAAGGAAGGCCGTCAATGGATTTAGACAAGACTCCAGAATTTTTACATGCAAAGTACATCACCAACCTTCTGAAGGAGGTAAGATCCTTCTATTTACCATTCAATAGTGGAAAAGAAAACTAAAAACTGAAGAAGTGGCCCTACAAGTATATACAACAATTTTCAACTAATTCAATGAGTTTCAGACATTAATCCATTCTCTTTCCCTCATGTTGACCTTTAGTAACAGAGTTTTTCACTTTCCTATTCAAACCAGTATTTTTTTAAACTTCCCTGCAGCATTCTCATGACATTTGATATCAGAAATAAGGTGCTCCTGTGTGAAGGTCTGGATAAATGGTACATTATTTGTAAGTGGTTTGTGTTCGAAGTACAGTAGGGAATAAATATATTTAGCATATAGAACATAGGAACTCATGTCCGTTTTTTATTTTACTCTCATCAGGATTTCTTTAGGCTCACAATTAGTGTATTACATTTATTGAGCATTAAGGTCCTCAAATCTAACAATTAAAAATATCATGCTCACCATCCATTCCTTTAAAAGTTTTCTTTTTTATTTTTAATGCCTACAAAGTAAGTTGGAGCTTTTCCAGCTCTCTGTTTAAATAGATTCTTTACATTAAGAAAAGCATTAAAGAACTCTATTTCATCCTGAATTTTGAACTGAAGAAATTATCCCTGAAAGAAATGTCTTAGCCAGTGAAATAAATACTTACATAGATGTGCATTATTTTAAAAACCAAGTGCCAACTGGCCTTTATCATTTAACTGCTTTTATACACTTAATATGATTCACTGTTGTAGTATATATTGATTGAAAATAGACATATAATTTATGGAACAGTGTTTTTGCTACCTTATCTCTTCTCACTTTTGTTCCTATAAAGTATTTTGAAGTTGAAGGCTAATCAAATGTCAACTTCCTACTTTTATTGACTTCTATTTAAAAAATATACATTATTTATGTGAATTTTTAAAAGGGGAATCATTTCATTATTTACATACAAATAATATTATGAGATCTATTTTGAGATCCATAAATGGCTTTAATATAATACCATTGCCTTTTTATTTTATTCTCCTTTTTGAGTGTATTTGTTTTAGACTTATTGATTCACCATGCATACAACAGGATAGAGAAAAGACCCAGAAGTCTATGATTTAAAATCTTTCAGTTAAGTTATAGAGATGTCTCATTTTAAAAGGGGACTCTTAGTGACTTAATGAAATTGTAATTTCCCTTTCTAAGTGTCAGCATTTAGCTTTAAATAGTTTTTGCATTATTTATTCTATTATAGTTTTACATTTATGTGGCCATTTAGATGGTCAAATATCATTTTATGCTTCATTTTATTTCCTCAATTGTCCTTAAACATTAATAGAAGAGTATTTTTATTTTCATTTTGCCAGTATGGAAATCAAGGCTCAGTTAACTTAAGGCCTTCTTGAAGGTTGTGTGACCAAATTATTGAAAGAGCTCTGACTCTCCTCCAGGTCATTTGACGCTAGAGCTCTTTCCAAAATTACATGCAGGTCATTACAATGTCTTGTAGACTATTCGTTAAGCAGAGGACTAGCTAGTTTAATTATCCTGGACAAAGAGAGAATAACATGAAATGAACTCTAGAATTAACTGGAACATGATTTCTTATCATTAAAGGAAGTCTCATCTTTCATCTGTCAAGTTAGTCATAAGTGCAACTTAGTCAAATTGGATTGAAATATTATTTTATAATGAAATTACTAAGAAAACAAGAAATTCATGAGTACAAAAAACTCAAGTTATACATGTGTTAGTAAAGTCACTTGGATATATAATACTTAAAATATAATATTAAAATAGGTGAAATTCAAACTATATATAATTGACCCATAGGAAGTTATTTGGTTTTATGAATCTTTGAATAAAATGGAAACTTATTGTAAAACTTTGGTTACACCAGTCCTTCTGATTTTGTAATTTTCCATTCTTTTTCAGCTGTGTTCTTTTGTTGATTCATATTTTATAGGCAGTTTTCAAAGCAATACTTCAAATAATTAATAAAGAAGCATGTATTCCTAAGATTTTCCTCACCATTTAAAGGGAAGACATCTTTTTTAAAATGCACTAATATGCTACCAAAATATATTAGAAGAAAGGATGAAAGGGAAAAGACCGGTAATATTGGAAGCCATTCTAAGCATGTTTAAAAGAGAAAATTTCTGTAGGAAATAAAGAGTGTGAATGCCCCGGAGTCTGATTCATTCCTTTCTAAAAAAGGTTTCTCCTTTCTGTGGTTTCTAGAAAATATGTAAAACAGTATACAACTTATAGAGTTTCCCAGTAAATTTCAAATTGTAATATTCTTGTCTTGCAGAAGGAATATAGAAAGGATTTGGAAAATGAAATAAAAGGGAAAGGAATGGACCTTAATTCAGAAGTCCTTGATATTCAAAGAGCAAAACGAGCATCTGAAATGGCTAGTGAGGTGAGTATATTTATTTAACAACTGAGAGTGTATGAATATTTAGCTGATTTTTTAATCTGTCAATCCTCAAAGATTTTGTATCTTTTAATAGATACAAATATAATATATCAAATATATTTTATAGATAATATATAAGTGTACATTTCTATGAATCTTCCCCAAAGATTTTGTATCTTTTAATAGATACAAGCATTAATATAATAGATATTTTATAGGTAAAATATATCTATAAGATATATTTCACAACTTTTATGTGTAAGATGATTATGAGAAGCTATGTCCTAGTAGTCCTTTCCCAATCAATTTTAAAAAATGATGCTCATTGCTCTTTTTAATGTGATATGAGAACAATGACCATTTCCCCATTTTAGAGACAAATCTATATTATGAACCAAAATAAGTTTACGAGATGTCACTTGACCTTTTAAGCAAGTAAAAGGCAGAATATTAAGAGGCTGGGTTATCATGGTCTGTTGGTAACGGCAGCTTGTATTTTTGTATGCTCACAACCCAGCTGAATCTCCCAGTGCTTGCCTAAGATGCTGCATGAGTCTAGTTACATCTCTTTATGACGTGAAAATTGCCACTCCTCACTTTACATGACATTGTAAGATGGAATGAAATGCCTCCAAAATGCTTTCAGTCCTTTAATTCTTGTGTTATATCATTACTTTGATGTCAAATAACAGCACTGTGTTTTGAGGGGACTCTAGCTGAATTTAGCAGTGAAAAAATTCAAAGTTTTATACCCATTTGTTACTAAACTGTGGTGGTGATGATGATGATGGTGACCCTATTAGTCAGATTGTAAATGATAGAAACCCAACTCAAACTGGGTTAAGCAACAAAGGAATTGTTTTGGTTTATGACTAGAGAAGTCCAAAAATCAAGTTTCCTTCAGGTTGGTATTCAAATGATGTCTCTGTTTTTCATTTCTTAGTTCTCTTATCTTCTCTGTTGCTTCAGTCTTGGGAGGCTTGTCTCGAAGTAATGGCCCCTCTTAAGGTTAAGGTGACTCATGTCTGTGGCCAGTAATCTTAGTGGGAAATGAGCATCTGTTATCTTATAGTTGTAATTTAAATCCAAAGATTGAATCTCATTGAATCACCTTCTGTCCTGTGCCCTCACCTGACCCAGTCACTGTGTCTGGGGGCAGGAGGGTGTAATGAGGTGGGATAGTTCTCCTGGTCTTTCATTTATATAGTTAACCATGTTTTAAGTATGAAATATTCTAAGTTATTATGTGTTTTAAGAAAATTTACATACATCTTTGACCATATTCATGTTCTTTAAATAAACTAAAGGGAACATTAAAAGCATTTCAGTGAAATTAAAAGTCCATGTGGGAAGTAGGGAAATCAACCCACCCAAAGTATATAGCCTGAGAGGGGTTAAAGGTAATTCCTGAAAAGAAAATGGTAGAAGTCTTTGCCAGAAGGAGGAGGAATGGATGATGCTCAGGCAAAAACAACAGACATTCACTATGATCTTTGGCTGATATTGTCATTATATAGTTCCACATTAGAAAATTTCTACAAATTCTCCTATTATGGTGACATCCACTATACATGCACAGACAAATTTTGTAGTCACTTTCAGTAATACTTGGAAAACTTGTCTTGAACTGTCAATGGCAGAGTGTAGGTAGATGCAGCCGAATGGCACGGTGGTGGTGGGGGCAGCAATAAATCATTTCTTAGTGTTGTAGAAGGTCAGTCTTCTTTCCACAACACCCACTCACTGAAACCTGTCTTCCTGTCCTCCAGACCCCAACACAATTGCCAGTGAAGAATCTCACCTGGCAATTGCCTTACAGTAAAAGTTTTTGGAGTTTTATATACTTCTCTTCAGTGAGAACAGTGATTATAGTTCTAAGCAATTTAGAAAATTCAGTTCTCAATGATCATTCATAGCACAAAGTAAGGTGTGTTTTTTTTTCTTCTTCTTTTCCCTGTTAAATACGCTTGGCCATTTTTGTGTCATTGAATACAGATATATGTTTGTCCCTGAGTATCTATCTGAATGTTGTAAAATGTTGCTATTTTACAGAAAGAATACAAGAAAGACCTGGAGTCAGAAATTAAAGGTAAAGGAATGCAAGTTGGCATTGACACACTTGAAATACAGCATGCCAAAAAAGCTGCAGAGATAGCTTCAGAGGTTAGTAGAGTAAATGATGCAGACCTTGAGATTCATATTTTGGAGCCTAATAAGTCATATTATTAACTTGATTATCACATGGAATTTTCCAAAACTTTCTGTGACAAGTATAACAGTTGGAATGGAAACCATTTCAAATCATATGCTTATTTGAAAATTTACAGTTTCTACTTTGCTCAGTTCCTTTAAATATATCAAAGAAAACTTGGGGAAAGGTGTTTTACTACAGCGCGTGCACACACATGCACACATATACACCTTATCGTATAAGGCAATGAATTTCATGTTAATCTAAGCTATGATAAGTATTTTCATACTACTTTTTCTTTAAGGATGGATCATGTGTGACTTGACATTTCTGTGTTTCCAACTTTCTGAGCAGAACTTGAAAATTACATGAAGACCCTAATGTGGCATTGATAGCCATTTCCGTGTGATTTGGTTGCGTGTTCTCAAAATATCTTCTGTTGACCTCAATACCATGCCTGTCATTTCTCCAGAGTGGGCATTTGGGGTTGAGGTATTACATGTCCATTTCCCCTTGTTCATTTGTCTAATACCATTTCCCCTTCATGTAATACATGTGATGACAGGATGTTAATTTAGAAGTTTTGGCTTAGATACTATGATATGAGTTAACAAAATGGTAGGAGTCAGACCATATGTGCACTTTTCAAAGGCAGTACCCTGGAATTGGTTCCATACCTCTTGAACTTACCCCCAATCTTTCCAGACTATAAAAGGGTCAGTGGAGTGGAGAGTATTTGGGAAGAGATGGTTTTATAAGAAACGTATATAAAGAGGAAGTTGGGGGTGCCGGTTAAGGGGTGCTGCTTACTCATCTCGAGGCTGATTGCTGGGATGCCTCAGTGGGGCTGCTCTGAGAGCTGTAATGTGTCACTCCAGGTACAAGAGCTGGCTCACGGTTGACTCCCTCTCTGTGTATCTGGAGGGGGGAAGTAGTGGACTCAGTGCCAGGGAAGTTACTGGTGTGTACTTGCCAGGGTTTGGTACTTGCCAGGGCAGTGGGATGGCCATAGGGATTTCCATAAAGAAGCTGGGGATGGCATAGAATTCTTGGCCAATAGGTGTTCTATTTAGAAATGGCAGAGGAGAGGTACCTGCTGAACAAGTCTTAAAAACCTCCTTTCACCCTGACCCTAATTCTTTTCTCCTCCTGAGAGGCAGCCAGCATTATAAATTTGTTGTAGAGACTTCCAGATCTATATTTATGTAGACATGGATAAACATACATTTATACACACACAGACTTAAAAAAAACTTAAATTCCATGTACTTTGTTCTGTGCTTGCTTTTCTCACTTAATATTACAGACCCTTTTCCGTGTCATTCCATATATTTCTACCTCATTCTTACAGAAAAATTAGGGTTATATAACATGGATGTGAATATGCAACCATTTACCTTTTGATGTCTCATAGGTATTAGTACATATAAGCAACATATACAGTGTTTTATAACAGGGACTCAACATTACATGCCCAAACCAGAACCCTTAATTTTTCCTCGGATCCACTTCCTTCTTCCACCTCCTTCTTAGTAAATGGCATTAGTGAAATCCCAGAAGTCGCTTGGATCCCACTATTCAGAAAGTTTCATTGACTGTACCCCAATGGCTTTCTAAAGCCATCCTCTTCTCCCCACCCTAGTCCAAGCTACCATCTCTGTCACCTAGCTTATTGCAATAGGATCCTAGCCAGAATTTTGCCCCCTTAGTATCCATTCTCTGCCTAGCATCCAGAAGGGTCCTTAAAGAATTAAATTATGTTACTCCCCCAACTTAAAATTTTCAGTGGGTTCCAGTCATGTCCAGCATGATGTCATAGTCCTTGCTTTGGCATTCAAGGTTCCCCTCCTGGCCATCCTTATCCCGCACCCAGCTTCCCTTGGTTCTTATGCCCCAGCCTCACAGGCTTCTAGCTTGTGCCTCCACAGGTGTAGGGTCTCTGTACAGCTCTGGTGACTTCCTGAAATTCCTTCACGCGGTCTTTGCATGGTTGGCTCTTTCTTGTACTTTTTCTTGTGATTCATTTCTTAGATTTAATAGTACTTTCTTATGGTGACCTCCTAGGGCTTCTGAGTAACTAACTATCCAGTAACTATCCAATCACTTCTTATAATTCTCTGAAAGTTTTGTTCTGTTGAGCAGGGGGTGACATCCAGTGCTAGTTCAAGGTACTAGATTGGAGTATGGGGCGAGGGGAAGTCAGGGCTGCAGAAGAGCTTTCAAAGACATCCTCATGGGACTGAGCGTTGAAGCCAAGAGAAAGCATCCTTTTGCTGGAGAAAAGAATGTGGAAAGAACAGAAATTTTGTATTTCACACTGTTACCTAAGAACAGGGTTCTATGACTTATTACTTTTATGTCATGTCTTTTGTTAGTGGATAATAGATCAGTTTATTTGATAATATGCTGATTTAGATTTTTTTGTATACCTTGAGCTTGTATAAAAGGAAAGTGGTACCTATTTAGTTATTAAGAACCCAGGGTAAAAACAGGCCTAGGGGAGTCAGCTGTACTGTGGTTACATGTAGCCCAAACCAATTTTGGTGATGTTGTTACCTTTGCAATCCAAAGGTCTCATTTGCATATAATCATAGCCAGGTCCCATTTTGTCCAATTGACAGGTTCTCAAATCCTTTTCAATAAGAGTTTGGGACATTGCCGTAGTGTCAGGTTTATTTTTTTAAAGTAAAGTCAATGTGGTATATTGTTGCAATACATGAATGAGTGATTCCCAATAGCCAAACCTTCCAGAAACTAAGGGCTTGACCATGTGATTTTCTTTGGCCAGTGGGAAAAATAAACATGACTCAGGGAGAGGCTCTAAAAGGAAGTGCTCTCTTGAAATGTAGATGTCTTCATGGTTTTTAAAGCCTTCTAGTTTAGGGTATTTTAGTATTGACCGATAAATAACTGATGTAACTAGTGTCCTGTGTAGTTTATTTATGGACTTGAAAATGTTTTTAGATTTGAAAGTTCATATTGGAAAATTAAATGATGTACCTTCTACCATGGGACCTTGGTGGCATCTATGACTAGTGACTCAGTTCCTACATATATTCTCCTTCAAATGAAGTGTTTTGTTTTGGGGTCTTAAGAAGTTTACTAAAAACTTAGAGCTTTTTATAGACATAGTAATAATTTAGTGTTATTCTTTTGATGGTTAAACATTATTACTTGAATTTTTATTCAGAAAAGGGAAACAGACTTTAAGCAAGTGAAAATAGGCAGATTTATGAGTAGAAGATGGGAAAAATATATTTCTCTGAGTTTGAGATTTTTATTTACAACTTCTCTGAATTTAGAACATCATAAATAAGCAAGGCAACATTTACTTTAAAACAGAGAATCTACAAATCAAGAGTATGTCAACACAATGGGAAATAACTGTTTTGGAAGAAATATAATTAGAGATTGTCAATAGTTTTTTTAATTTTAATAAAATTTTTCATTGAAGAATAGCATGCATCTAGAAAAGTGTACAATTATATGTGTACAGCATTGTGAATTTTATAATCATTAGTTTTATTTTTTAAAAAGATTTTACTTATTTTCAGATAGAGGGGAAGGGAAGGAGAAAGAGAGGGAGAGAAACATCAATGTATGGTTGCCCCTTGTGCACTCGCAACTGGGGACCTGGCCCGCAACCCAAGCATGTGCCCTGATTGGGAATTGAACCAGTGACCCTTTAGTTCGCAGGCCAGTGCTCAATCCACTAAGCCACACCAGCCAGGGCTTATAATCATTAGTTTTAAAATGTGACCAGGATCTCTTAAGGTATTTGTGCATGTAATTTTGATATTTTGTAAGTAACAGATAATCCAACTCAAACTCGCTCAAAAAAGCAGATAATTTATTGTTCTTGTACCAAACAGCAGAGGAATTTTTAGACATAGCTTGCTCTAGGACTCAAACAATATAACTCAGGTTCAGTTTCTATCTTTTAGTTCTTAGGTTTTCTTCTCCTGCTTGCAGAGAAGCATCTAGCAGCTCCTGGGGCTAGTTCCTTCATGTCCAGAAGGAAAAAAAATGTTTTTTGAAAGCTTGTATGCAAAAAGAATGGACAGTCCTTGAACCAGACATGAAGAGCCAGGGATAGGGTATAATGACTAATATAAATCCCGCAGGGCCCATGCATCTGCTCCGTTTCACCCAAGTTGAGTGGCTCAGATTGGGGGAGCAGCGGTAAGTCAGAGAACTAAAGAAGGGAAAAGAAGGGTCGGATTTCAGGGAAGCAACCAGCAATTGTTCCCTACAGAGCAACAGTTTTACAATTCCACTTTATTGATATTCATTAACTGAGTGATATATTACTATATGATTTTTATCATATTGAAATATAAAATTTCCCCTGGGCTATGTTTTCTTTCTTAACTCAGGTGAGTAGAAGAAAGCCTCCTGAAAGCCATTCCAGTTCCTGTTTCTACCACGAGTCAAAACTCTATAGTTCTATAGAAATAAAAGGAAGGTCCAGCGTATCTCCAAAAGTCATGATTCTGACGTTGAAATGACATCAAGTTTTTCAAATTATTTTAGAGCTCTAATTGCATGTTTTATTTTCTATAGAAAGACTATAAAAGAGATCTGGAGACTGAAATTAAAGGGAAGGGCATGCAAGTGAGCGCAGACACCCTTGATATCCAGAGAGCCAAGAAAGCATCCGAAATGGCCAGCCAGGTAAGAAACAAATGACATACCAAGTTTAAAACAAACCTTTTTAAGCCCTGGCTGGTATGGCTCAGTGGATTGAGCTCCAGTCTGTGAATCAATGGGTCGCTGGTTTGATTGGCAGTCAGGGCTTATGCTGGTTTGCCAGCCAGGTCCCCAGCAAGGGATGTGCAAGAGGCAACCACACATTGATGTTTCTCTCCCTCTCTTTGTCCCTTCCTTCCTCTCTCTCTAAATATCAATAAATATATTTAAAAAATAAAACAGACGTTGAGTTGTACATAGAAAGAGCATAAATGGGATTTCCACATGTGCGGCATTGAGATTCAAACACATAAATATCTACATTGTTATGGAAGACTAAGCAAAGCTCTGAAGATTATTTTCTGTTTTTTTAGATAGAGTATAAGAAAGACTTGGAAAATGAAATCAAAGGGAAAGGGATGCAAGTGAGCATGGACATTCCAGACATGCTTCGAGCCAAGAGGGCATCTGAAATCTATAGCCAGGTTGGTAGAGAGTTGAGTTGCTTAGAACAAGGAATTCTAATGTCCAGTCACCTTGTATTTTGTGCATTTCTATGATTGAGACCTTTTTGAGGGTAATGAGTTCAAAGTCAGTGCGCTCTATTGTAAAGGGACCACTGGCCAAACTTAATTAACTTCCCTAATGAAGGGGGTAACTGCAGCAGGTCCAATTCAGCAGATGTTATTTGCTGTCAGAGCTCTCTTGTGGGCCCCTGTTTTGCACCCAAGGACATTTTGACCATAAAAACAAAACAAAACAAAACAAAAAAACAAGAACTATTGCATACGTGGCTTTAATGTCGACGCTACAGAAACAAGATTACAAATAAGTTGTCTTTTACTTATTTTATAATGAATTTTATCATTAAAATGATCAGCTCCAACTAAAACTGAATGAATAAAACTGCACAAAATGTAAGGTGAAAAAGCGAGAACTAATTAAAAATTAAGAACTAAGTTTTCTTAGTAAGGTATAACTTGCCAGTTTATCCTCTAGAAAAACTTGATATGGAGCAAATAATGATCACAAAAGAAAATATTTAATGGGAGAAGAATTAAAATCTTATTTGAACAAAAATTCATTAGTGAAATATTTCCTTGCTATAAAATTTGCATGGAAAAAAATGAATCCCAATGGAAAATAAATATTGAAGGGGAAAATGGTCATAGAAAATTGACCAAGGAACTAAATTTGGTTAATGGGGTTTATGCTGAAAATAACTTTTTCCAAATGTGTCCAAATTTGTTAAAATTCTGATTAAAACATAAGGAAGGAGTCTAAATATCTGGTGGCTAAAAAATGTAAGTATGAAGATGGCGGAGTCAAATGGCAGAGGAGTTGCCTGCTGTTCCACATCCTCAGATGACACAGCAGGTGGGGTGGCCCTGATGTGCATGTTCATCTGTCCTCAGTGTCTCATGATGGCATGTGAACTTGGAGAAATTGGTTTTCACGGTATCAGCGGAAGTAGTATCTTAGATAAATACATAAACCAGACAAATAGGTATTTAAGTCAATGGAGGGAAGTTGCTGTCTTAAGAATACCAAACTCATTCATTCATTCAGCAAATACTTCCTGAGCACCTGTTTACGTGCAGAATTAGATATGGTTTTGCTCTGGGGGAGCTACTGGCCAACCTAATTATCAGATAACTGTGCAAGTAGAGTATTACAAACCATGATATACTCTACCAGAAAGTAAAGGATTCAAGAGTAAAGGCTATCCAGAAGAGGTGATGCATGGGCTATCAGAATGTTTCTTTTAACTTAGCAGTGTTGATATTTTTAGTGTGATACAAAGATACATCTGATTTTAAGGAACTTTAATTATTTTGCATACAGTGGAATTCTAGAGGATGTGATAATGTTATGGTGCATTTCAACATGAACAATATTTACCTTTCCTAACAAGTAATTGTATGCCATAATGGTTAACATTACTGGTTAATGTTAATGTTTAATTACTGGTTAATGGTTAACTTTGGGAATTAGAGTGCCTGGTTTTAATCCTACTTCTGACACTTCTTGGTTAATGACACAGTTTCCCCATCGGTAAGAGGAAATAATGATTCTATCCGTAGGGCAATTAAATGAGCTAATATGTGTCCAATATTTATAACAATAACTATTACATAGTAAGTATTATGTAAGTGCTGGTACTAGATATTACCCAGTTTGTATCAGAGCTCATAATAATACATTTAGTAGATTAAAAAATTGAGATTTTTATCTTAAGTACAAAAATATTAATATCTTTGCCTTAATCAAATGTATCTTTATTTGAAGTAGGAAGCAGAACATAAACCCTGAAGCATGGAAGCAAGTAATAGAGAGCCAGGTTCTTTGTAGGAACTGTGGGGCAACTTTGAAGAGGGATGGGACTGCTCCTTAAAGAATAGGTTCTAAACAGAGTGGCACAGAGGCCCAGCCCTCCCAAAGCCGTGGAATGGACTGGGGTGGAAACCACTGCCCGAGCAGAGGTGAGGCAGCTCCCGGCACTGTTGGCTTACTCTGCATACTCCCTTTGTTTTTGCGGTTGCATGAACAGCTGCTTGGAGTCCTAAGATGTTACTTACAGCCACATGGTATTGCAGACTTGGAAGTGGTATCACGTTCATTTTCTCTGTCTCTCTTTCCTATGTGCACATACATGTGCATGTATGTGCACATACAAAGTTTCAGATTGATATTAACTGTTTACATTTCTAGAAAAAATATAAAGATGAAGCAGAGAAGATGCTTTCTAACTATTCTACTGTGACAGATACTCCTGAAATTCAGAGAATTAAGACAACTCAACAAAACATCAGTGCAGTGAGTAACCATTATTTCTTTTCAGTTGCCTCCTTGAAATTTTATCTTTCCCTCATTGCCTGAGTTCTTGCTGCATTGCTTGAATTTCCTATCAAATGTAATATCTTTATGTCTTTAATGAGAACACCAAATGTTCTTTTAAGTTATAATTTATTATGATTTTTTTAGAATTAAAAATTCAAATTTTTCTTCTATGGTACAAACTACAGTTATTTTAAAATTTCACACAGGAAAGAGGTCTTAATCTTTTACATGGATTTTACCTTAAAGATGAAAAAAGTCATATGAAGTGATTTCCTTCTTAGTCATTGATTTTTTTGCACTGATAATATAGCTAGGAATTTACTAGTTTTTAACCAATTCTTAAACTTTTATGTTTTTTATTTTGAGCAATAAGAATTGTATCAACATCATTAAGAGATTTGGTCTATGTTTAAAGGACATAGAATTTGTCTATGTTTAAAGGACATAGATTTGGTCTATGTTTAAAGGACATGAATTGGAATTCTAAAATGATAAAAATTAACCATACAGCCAGCATTTTAATGTAGAATTAGCTCATTTAGTAGTTAACAAAGGTCTCATCAAAGTAAAAATGCTATTAAGTCTCATGACTTCTGGAATATTTTCTACTTTCTAATAAAGTGACAAGCACTAGTATTGGCCTGGCACCTCTAGGTCTTCATTGTCAGGCTGTGCTAAGCAGTAGAGTCCAGTTGGAAAGCAGGATCAGAGAAAAGGCTATGTTTCAGCCCTTATCTCCTGTGATTTCATCGTATTCTAGGTTTCTAGCTTTTGAAGGAAGACATCTTTCATGCTGCACTCTTCCAAGCCTGACAAGGGTCTACTGGATTATGATCTTTCAAGAGAGGGATTTGTTCTGTCCTCATGGCTTTCCTATAATTCTTCTGTTTTTTGTTTTGTTTTGTTTTGTTTTTGAAGAGCACTTTTGTTTTTTGTTTTGCTTTATGTTTGAAACGGGTAGGTGTTGGTAGAAGTGGAGAAGTGTGAGGTGGTTAACAAATAAGTGAAAGATGAAGAAAATATTGAACTATGTTGATGTTGATGATAGAGCCATATTTTCTTTAAAGAGAACAAGGGCATCTTTATATTTGGAGAATAACATGCTTAAAATTTCATGCTCTTTTTGAATAAAATGACAATTGCTTAGTGAACTTTTATAACATGCACTTTGATTTTTCTCAAATACCTGTGTGGCATTTATATTTGAAGAAGGAAACTAATTTTCCAACTCATAGTCTTAGAGCAAAAAACCTATAGCCATATAAAATACCAAGCATGCCCTAGAACATGCATAAGAGAGCTACTTGTAAGATTATGGCATATGAAACCAAAGTTGGACATTCATTCTGATAATGGATTATCTAATTGATTAATGTCAATGGTGCTCATAAACAGAAGCTGTATTCTCATTACTCTAACACCTGAGAAATTGTCTCTTTAATAAGAATCAAGTCTGGGGCTCGAATGCTAGTGAGTGTATAGCTTTTCTTTTGCTCCTCTTATAATAAAGGTATTTTATAAGAAAGAAGTAGGAACTGGCACAGCAGTAAAAGATACTCCAGAGATTAATGAGTGAAGAAAAATCAGGAGGATATTAGTTCAGTAAGTTCTTTATAGCTTTTAATTATTCTTTCCAAGAGCAAATGTAAGTTGGATAAATGTTTTTCATTCTTTACTAAACTGGTTGTCTTTTTGTTTTATCCTTCACTTTGTTGACATGCTATTTCATCAAATATCAAAGATATAACTTTCAGAAGGAGAACGGCAGTGTTCTTCCCCTTGAACCTAGTGCAGTGTAGAGCAGTGTTTCATCTTGCTAAATCACAGTGTAGGAGAGATCGATCACTTCAACAGTACAGTCATGAAATCTAGGATTAGATTTCATTTTTTTAAACAGAATTTTCACTACATTAAATTTTTTAGAGAAAGGATAAATTTCAGTAACTCTCCACAACTTGGAAGAAAGAAATTTTACCCCAGAGAATGATTAAAGGCCTTAGAATATTTATTTGGTGGCTTAAGAGAAGGTTTCAAAGGCCTCATTTACCCCTACTTCTTCCATCTTCTCTCAAAGAAAAATGTACACCTTAACTCTTTATTTATAAATTAACTTATCTTCCAATTCCTTTTGAACTGGTGCTTAATGTTATGGGTTCAGTAACAAAATTGCTTGACATGGACAATGGATAATTGCTATCCTCACCTCAACAGGTATTCTTCCTTGTATATTTAGTTTCTTATTTAGGATGTCAAAGGGTTCTTTTCTTAAATCCCCTTTTTGACCTTCTGTTTACCTTCCACCTTTGGAGGCAGAGCCTTTCTTTAAGTAATCCAGGTAAAGAATTCCTTGGTGCAACTCATCTGTCAGGAACTCTGATAGTTACGTGGCATTCATTTTTGAATATGAGCATGTGCTGGCATTTGGGGAGAAAGAGCAGGAAAGGCAATCAATGCTATAGTAAAATATACTTCAAAATGAATTTATAAAAACAATCTAGAGAATACCGGGGCAATAAAATCTCTGTAGCATGAATGAAGCTATCTCCTGCGGAAAGCATAAGAAGGGTCTAATGATGAGGGTATGTAAATGTGCTGTGCTCCACCACGGTGAGAGCCTGTCTCAGGCAATACTCAGGTCCGGTAAAAAATTAGTTTGGCACAGAAGTGTGAAATGTTTGTTTTCTTCACTTTCAAATGATAATATTTAAAATGTACCCATCAGTGTACTGGAATATAATGTTATAAATGTTCCATAGCATGCAATTCTATTGCCTACAGTGAAATGACTGAGCCATTTTGATTAGTTTAGAGTTGTATGGAAAACAAAAATGTTCATCTGTAGTCATGTTTAACTTTTCACCCATGGAAAAATCACATGGTACAGTATATAATTTCTTCTCCTAGTGTCCCACTGCTGCTTCTAGCAAGCAATAAATGCATAGCTCTGTATCTCCATGAAGCAGAGTCATAAACTCCTGCTTAGTATTCAAATGGAAAGTTGCCCTTTCAAGATTAGCTAGATCTGTCAAACCAAGATATGATTCTCTAACATTTAAAGATCTCGACATTTCCCACCTCCAGAGTACAAGCCTTTTTAGCGATTAGCTTTCTCTAAGAACTACCGTATCTTTGAATCTTATTTAGAGGTAGCCTGTTTCAGTGTGCTTGCAATTTAACTCTTTTGGATCCAGACTAATATTGGCATTATTACTCATATGAAGTCCACAGACACTGAGACCTAGAGGATACTGAGATATTTAGGTACTGTGTTTTTTGACTCTCAGCATAGATTTCGGCCTTAATTACTTTAAGCATTACTAAGTGATTACAAAAGTTTTTTTTGTAGATTTGCGAAATTTTAGTGTGTGCCTCTTAATGCTAGCCTACGTTTTCACATATAGGTATATATTTGTATCCTTCTTCTTGAATCCAGTCTTCCATGAGTTTTGGACATATTAAAGTAACACTTGCTACGATGGCATCACTAATCATTTCCAAAGTCAAAGAGCTGTTTCTTGTCCCATGCATAGCTATGTGCTGGTATTGCCATTTGTTGGGTTGATGTTCCTCTAAGTAGATTTGAAAGAGGTGCTTTTCAATGGATTGTAAGCCAGGAGATCGGCTGGCTTCCCCGAAGGTGATGGTGTGGGTGGAAGACACTTGCTGACCTCCTGCCACTGCCTCTTCTGTAGTGGTCAGGACACAGTGGCCTCTGTCTTTAGAACATGTACCTCCACCTCCCTCTTTCTCCTCTTTTATCATGGTCACATATTTTTTTCCTTATTCTAGATTATTTGAATGCTCTCAGTCAAATAAGCAGTTTTTCCAAGACTCTGTAGCTAACTCAATTTGACTTTTGCCTTTAAGTATACATATGGTAAATTGTAACTAACATATTAATAAATAGAAACTGCATTTTGGATAGAAAATAATAAATTATTATATTAAGATAATTTCCAAGGTTTTTTGTGCATCTGCCTAATGATAAAACTTGTTTTCTTAAGCAACATTTGCTCACTTTAATTAAAAACTCCCACAATGGAGGATAGGTGGATATGGACTTATTTGACTGTATATAAAGGAATCTTGAAAGTGTCAGTTAAAATAAAAATTTGTGTACCCACTGAAGAAAAATTAATGTTGTAATTACAAAATTTAAATTATGCAATAGCTATAAATAAAGAATTCTTGACTTTCTAAAAATCTTGTATGAAATAATACATTGTATTTTTTATAAATTATGCAGGTGAAATACAAAGAAGAGATAAAACATGCAACAGCCATTTCTGATCCTCCAGAGCTAAAGAGAGTTAAAGAAAACCAGAAGAATATCAGCAATGTGTGATCATATTTCTCTAAGTATTGTTTTCTGTTTTACTGGCTAGCACTCTACGTAACACTTAGAAATGTGAAGTCCCGTTACAATGAATGCCATCCAAGAGGGCCAGTTCTTGAGAGGTGGAGATAAGATTTCACACATCTTTATGTCCTCCATCACACCTAGCTCAAGGCGTTGTGTGCATTTGTGTGTTTAAAAAAAAAACCATGTTATTGAATTCCTACTATGTTCTTGTTCTTGGGGTAATTCAAAGCTGAGTGAGGTACACTATAAGTTAGGGGCTATGAGTATTTTCAAGGCTTCTAGGAGAAACAAACATATGACTAAGTAACAATTATATAGTGTTTAAGTGTTATAACAATAACTAATAGTTATTGGGTTTATTATACTTTTCGAGTACTCTACATGCAATATCTCATTTTAATAATAAGTAATAATTCCTCTTGCAGAATGTGGAAATCAGAGAAGGAAGGCTGTATCAGTGAGCGAGAGGAAAACTCTTAGAGAAAGAGTGACATTTGAGTTAAACCTTGAAGCACTAATAAAGGTGTGGGATGGGTTTCGTGAGGAAGGGTTATCCTGGCAGACAAACTGAGTATATTCAGGCTTGTTCAAGGAAGGGAAGGTTTAGTGTGATGGATACTTGGGGTAAAGGGTGGCATGAAAGGATGGTGGGGAAAGAAGTGGTCCAGGTCATAAGGGGGCAGTTGGAAGTCCCACAGTGTCCCTTAAATGCGGATCATACATAAATGTGGTTAAGTGGCCCACCCATTATTAGACCGGCTTTATGATTAAGTTGTCTTAATGCCCAATTTATCATAGCAACATAACACTCCTTTAAAAATAGCTTAATTAGAAAATAATAGCTAGTTCATTAAATGAAAAAATAATAATATAAATCACAGCACAGGTGGTAGCTGGCATGGCATGTAGGTGAGTGTTGTGCAAATTGAGGAAATTTAGATAACACTGGAATAATGAGGAAGAAGGTAGACTCTGGCCTGTAGGTTCAATCCAAGCTCCAGATCTTACTTGTTCTATAACCTTTATGACACCAACCTCTCCAAGCTTCCATTTCTTCATCCATAACACAGGGACTAATATATTAAGTAAGATATTGGCTGTAAAGCACTTAATGTGTTTTTTTAAAAATACATTTTATTGATTATGCTATCATACTTGTCCCATTTTTTTTCCTCCCTTTTATTCCCCTCTGCCCTTCATTCCCCATCCCACCAGCATTCCCCCCCTTAGTTCATGTCCATGGGGTTGTACATATAATTTCTTTGGCTTCTCCATTTCCTATACTATTCTTAACCTCCCTCTGTCTGTTTTGTACCTACCATTTATACTTCTTATTCCCTGTACCTTTCCCCCATTCTCCACCCTCCCCCTCCCTGCTGCTAACCCTCCATGTAATATACATTTCTGTGATTCTGTTCCTGTTCTAGTTGTTTGCTTAGTTTGTCTTTGTTCTTGTTTTTTTAGGTTCAGTTAATAGTTTTGAGTTTGTTGTCATTTTACTGCTCATATTTTTGACCATCTTTTTTTTGTTAGATAAGTCCCTTTAACATTTCATATTTGTGGGCTTGGTGATGATGAACTCCTTTAACTTGACCTTATCTGGGAAGCACTTTATCTCCCCTTCCATTCTAAATGATAGCTGTGCTGGATAGAGTAATCTTGGATGTAGGTCTTTGCCTTTCATGACTTCAAATACTTCTTTCCGGCCTCTTCTTGTCTGCAAGGTTTCTTTTGAGAAATCAGCTGATAGTCTTATGGGAACTCCTTTGTAGGTAACTGCCTCCTTATCTGTGATCTTGGGTAATATAATTATGATGTGCCTTGGTGTGTGCTTCCTTGGGCCCAACTTCCTGAGCTTCTTGGACTTCCTGGAAGTCTATTTCCTTTGCTGGATTGGGGAAGTTCTCCATTATTTTATCAAATAAGTTTCCAATTTCTTGTTCTTCCTCTTCTCCTTCTGACACCCCTATGATACAGATGTTGGAGTGTTTAAAGTTGTCCCAGAGCTTCCTAAGCCTCTCCTCATTTTTTTGAATTCTTGTTTCTTCATTCTGTTCTGGTTGAATGTTCATTTCTTTTTTCTGCTCCAAATTATCGATTTGAGTCCTGTTTCCTTCCCTTTACTGTTGGTTCCCTGTATATTTTTCTCTATTTCACTTTGCATAGCCTTCACTTTTTCCTCCATTTTGTGACCATACTCAACCATTTCTGTGAGCATCCTGATTACCAGTGTTTTGGACTGTGCATTTGATAGGTTGGCTATCTCTTCATCGCTTAGTTCTATTTTTGGAGCTTTGATGTGTTCTTTGATTTGGGCCATATTTTTTCTTTGTTTGTTTCAGTGGGTCTATTATGTTGTAAGGGGTGGAAACATAGGTATTCATCAGGGTGGGGCAACCCACTTGGCTGCCTTGTGATGCCATATGTTAGGGAGGGGTCTGAGTGGGAACAATGTTGCTTGCTCAGCTCTCAGCTGGTGGTTTTCATTCATTTCACCAGCTACCCACAAGCAAATTGGGCCCTTCTGGTGCTGATTCCTGGGTGGGTGGGTTTGAGTACATTCTGGGACCCTTTGTTCTTTCCAACAAACTCTCCTGTGATGCTGGGAGTTTCTCCTACTGCTGGACCCCCACAGATTTTTACAGCCAGAGGTTTTGAGGCTTTAGTTTCCTGCACTGGAACCCTGGGTTGTTTGGTCTGTCTCACTCCCCAGCTGTTCCTCCCAGTTTATCCACACGTACACCTGGTCCTCCAGCCACTGCCTTGCCAAGCGTCCTCTCCATCCTGGCTGCCTATCTCTGCCCATCCTACCAGTCTGGATGAATGTTTTTTCTTTAACTTCTTGGTCATTGGACTTCCATACAGTTCAATTTTTCTGGCAGTTCTGGTTATTTTTTTGTTTTTAAATTTGTTGTTGTCCTCTTTTGGTTGTGCGAGGAGGCAAAGTATATCTACCCATGCCTCTATCCTGGCCAGAAGTGGTTTTTCTGCTGCACTTAGCATGTTTGTGAATGGGTGAATCCAAGAAGTGAACAGTCTCCACATCAAACTTATATCCTCAAACATACATCCACTCGAAATCAGCCACAGCCACAATAGTCTCTCTACTTCAGTAGTCCTGTTCTATAGATTGTTTTCCTTCTGAGCTCTACCCAGTATAATCTCCTTGCATCTTGCCATCCATAAGGATTCTAGTGGACCTTTTCTTATGTTAACTCAGACAGCTATCCCAGACGCAGAGTCTGCCTAAACTCTCAGACTACATACCATGGCACAAAGAAAGTCACACGTTGCAGAAGGGGCCTGCCCCTTTCTCACCTATTTTCCAAGCTTATCAAATTTCTATTTACTTGCACATTCACTGTTGAGAGTGGGATCTCAATTCTATTTTATCTGTAGGCCTGGTGATTCTTTGAGAAAAATTTCCTAATGCTAAATTTAAACTCTAGAAAAGCACTAAGACTGTGTTTATGGAGTTCCTTATAATGGGATTTTAACCTCAAATTTTACTTTTGCCTGTCAAAAATTCAGTTGATGAACATACCATTTTTTTTTCTCTGTTGGATGCTCATTTATATCCTGAGATGTTGTGGAATTGCTGGGAAAGCTGACCAAAAATGATGCATCTGATCCCCTGGCTAAGAAAAGGTCCCTCTATGTAGTAGGTCAGGAAAACTTCCATACTTCCATGCTATACACTCCTAGTGAGGATTCTAATTAATGGATGCTCTGTAGAATGTGCATTTCCTGCAACCTGTTCTGGTACCTGGGTACTCATTTCCTCCCCACAGTCCCACACTGTCTTGCACCTTGCTTCCCAGCTCCAGTACAAAGAACAGTGCCACCGGGCCACACCAGTGAGCATGACACCAGAGATAGAGAGAGTGAGGAGGAACCAGGAGCAGCTGAGTACGGCAAGTTGTTTCCGTTTTCTCATTACATATTTTTATGCTCTCTGAAATCCTTCAAACCCTCTGCAGAGTGAATGGTCCTTTTCACAGTGGCAAGTGGAAGGGCATGAACTGTGGCCCTCCCCTGTGGGTACAGGAAACTTGGGACTGTCTTGCTATAATTTAGCCATGTTTGTTAATTAAAAAAAAATCTGCATTAAGCACACCAATGTGCCAGGCATTATCCCTGTCCCCACTACACAAAGATGGGCAAGACCCAGTTCCTGTCTTCATGGGTCTTGTAATTTAGTTGGTAAATCTCTAAAAATCTCTAAGGACCTGGAGAGTAGTCGTGAGTCTGTTGTCAACTGAGATAGAAACTATCAATTGGAAGAGGTTGAAAGAAGACCTGACTTGACTGGAGTTCTAAGACACGATGTCAGAACAGGGAACCTTATAAATAAAACAGAAAGCATTATTTGATTATTCAGTAATCTTTTGCTAATAGAGCAATGCTAATTAACCATCATGAGGTACCTCTCATATGGACTCTATGCTACATGCCTTCTATGAGCCCATGAGGTTGGTATAGTTTTTTCTCTGGTTTGTAGGTGGGGGGATCTGAGCCTTGGGGAGGGTCAAAGAACATGCCAGGGACCCACAATTAATAAGGGCAGAGGTGGGATTTGAACCCAAGCTTCCTGGAGTTTAGAAATCCTTTCAAAGGTACTACCCTTAATAGTTATTTTTTTTGTTTGTTTTTTGACTCCCTTAATGCAACTTTTACCAATAAAAACAATAGCCTTCTTCTTCCGACTGGGTAATTTTGAAAGACTTTATAATTTGAGTGAGTTCGCCCAGGTAGAGGAGGAAATCAGGAGGATCTGCTTTGTCCTTATGATATCCCTGGAGGATTGTGGGCATGAGGGAGCTTTACCTTCTTTTTAAAAATCTTTCTGTTTCTTTGTCCTAATTTACTCATTTATTCAGTAGATATTTATTAAGCCCTTGATACTTGCTAAGTGTCCTGCTATCCATAAGATAAGCCAGTGTAAGAAAAGAAACCCATCTTAGCTTCAAATGTGCCATGATTCAGAATAATAAAAATAATAATAGGAGGAATGAGGAGAAGAGAGGGAGGGAGGTGAAGAACAGGAGGGGGTGGAGAGGAGAAGGCTCCAGGGTGGCAGGCACTCTTGAACCTCCAGGTACTGCCCAGACTCTGTCAGCCAGAGCTCAATCCCCACAGGATAAGGAAACCCGTGTGGGTACCAACACTCAAAGCAACATCTGTGACACAGGACACTGCGTTAAGCCATCACAGCACTGCAACTACAACTCTGAACTCTGGTGGTTCTGGCTGGGGTGGACCATCGTTATCATCCTGAGCTGCTGCTGTTTGCCACCGTCACTGAGCCAAGTGCCCAAGCGCCAAAGCACCCAAGCACCCAAGCACCCAAGTACTGCCTTCAAGCCTAGCAGTGGCCTGAAATCAACCTGGTCTCCTACCATGAAGCCCAGAATTACTCAGTGCTGCCCTTTTATCTCATGCTTTCCAGCTACAGCAGCTGCTGCCACCCGGAGAGCGTGGGCATGTAGGCAGCAGTATCCCAGGCACTGATCCCACCAGGGGCTCCCAGGGGGCGCAGAGCAGCTCCTTGTCTGGGCCCAGCAGAAGCAGCAGGAGATCCCCGAGCATCATTGCTGACCCTCAGCCCTCCAACACCAACATGCCAGCCAACCCAGCGGCCAGCAAAGCCCCTGGAATGGAGCCCAGTGGCCGTGTGGCTGGCTGGGGGAAGGTGGCCCCTGGTGCCTCACTGGACAAGGATTCCGAAAGTACAGAGAAGCTTACATCGCAACATCTGGCAGACATCACATGTCACGGTGACTTGGGCATTGAGGTATGTGTGTGAACAGGGGCCACCACCACGACAGCCTCAAAGAGTTCAACACACCTATTGATGATGCTCTGGATGGGACGCTGGACTTCTGTGACCCTGTGACATGTCGTCCCTGGTGACAAGGAGGAAGGGCGCTGCCAGTCCTCTGAGGAGCAGGCCCGAGACCCTGGGCAACCCACTCACCGTGGCCGCCCTCGTGCCTGCTGCTGAGCGCCTCTAGCGAGCAGGACTCTAGGCAGTGGCTCCCCAGCGAGAGCAGGCCCTGCCTGTCCCCCAGCACCTGGGAAAGCAGCAGGGTAGGGAAGAAGCACGAGAAGAGCATTAAGTGACTTTCAAAGAAAGTGGTACAGCTACTTTTTTTTTTCTTTTTTCTTTTTTTCCCCTTCACTCCAGCATTTTTCTACATCTCCAAGTACAGATCGGCATGTGGGTGCCTCTTCCCCCCGACAGAAGCACAGTGTCATGGAGGGCTGAGAAGTTGGTCTATGACTCACTCCTCCTACCCTAATCCCCCTTTTCACCTTTTCATGTCACCTCACTGCCTGCTTGAGTCAAAGAGATGTGCATTTTAGAAGCTCTGAAGGAAGGGGCTGAGACTGAGCCCTGAGGGGACTCTTGGTGATGGAGTGGATTTTGGCTCTGGTGTTGGTGCAAGAGAACTTTGCTGTGTCTTAGTCTGCGAGAGGTGGCAGGGCTCAGCCCTGGATGAGGAGGGAAGCCTGCAGAGAGCCAGGGGTTGTCACCCGTCGCTGCCAGTGTCTGCACAGCTGGACCCGGGCTAACCCTGTAGGGGGACGAGATGATGGGCAGTTGTATGGTAGGGGGTAGGGGCTTGCTGTTTCCAAATTCCAGGTGACAGGATCGAAGTATCACTGACATCCTTGAGGGGCCCTGCCAGCAGGTTCTGGCTGGTCACAGACTGATTCAGGTCCACAAGACTGTACTGCCTTCTCTTTGGTTTTTCTTTTTTAAAAAATGAAGATAAAAAAGTGTCCTGAAAACAAGAACTTTATCAGTACGCAGGCAAGAATTCTATTTGGAAAAAGAAAGTCTGGGTCTCTTTCCCAAGTTGGCCTTCAAAGAGCCTGGCTGCAATGGAGCCAGAGGAGGTGCTTTGTGTTCCAGCTTGGGTGGGGGCTTCACTGGAGCTTCTGTGGGTGCACAGGAAGCCTTAAGCCGTGGCAGTGGGTGGAGATGCAGCTTTCTGCATCTGTGTCCTTTGGTCTGTACTCCCTAGTGGCCAGGACCCCCATCCCGAGCATACAGTCTGTGGGCCTTCCTGTCTCACTGTTCTCCATGAGCAAATGAGGCCGTGGATCCTGAGGAAGGGCAGCCCCAGAGCCTGGCTCACACACAGCGTTTTCTTTTGATTCCAAGTAAGTTTTTCTTCTGTCTCTCTCCCTCTCCCTCTTTATTTTTAGACTTGCCACTTGGAAAAAATGCCTTGGTTATCTGTGGTTTTCATGCCCTATCCCACACCCTTGTGAGTGGGGTAACTAATTGTTGTAGCCTCTGTAAAGGGTCCAAGTGGCCCAAGGATAGGGGTAGGGCAGCTGTCCAGAAGGGCCTTATTACTGTAGTTTGGCTTCCGATAACCAGTTGAGCTTTGGTAGGAATAATCTGAATGGAGAAAGCAAACAGCTAACTACGATTCCCTGCCCAGCTCTGTTCCTATGAAGAGTTTGATTCCTTACCCGCTCTTGAATAATGACATTCAGACTAGGCATTGACATTATGATAAAAAAGGAAAAAATATTTATGTATAAAAAAAGAGACAAATCCAAGACTGTGAGGTAGAGTGTCTGCATTTGGGGTCCACAAAACCAAAATCCTGTTGAACAGCGTAAAGTCCGTGTACAGGGACTTTTTGGATAACCTGTGTGTGTCTTTATTGTGTGAGAGGCCCCAGCCCTGTTTCCCTTTCCTGTGAATGTACTGCGAATGGAAGCCATCTGCTCATTAACCACACATTTGGAGCAAATATGGCCTTCTCAAGGTAATTTATTTCAGGCACTTACTGTTTACTGAACAAACGTCTGACTGTACTTGGGTGTGTTTGCCAGAGACGCTGTCCTCAAAGTAGAGGTTTTATCCTACCCATCACTGCAATTTGCACATTGCTCCGTGGACGCTTGGAGGCCTGTGCTCCATCCCCTGTAAATGGAAACGTGCTCCGAACCTGCCTGCCCCTCTCAGCCGCTCGTGGCCCTTGGCATCAGCCTCGTGGGTGTGTCCACAACCATTCAGAACCGAAAGTGAAGGTAGAACTTCAGACAGAAGCTTAATTGGATCTTCAAAGACAATTCGGACTCGCTGTGGCCCAGACGTCAGCCCTGCTCAGAATTGCCAGGCGGGTTTGGCAGATACCACAGGTCTTACCTCCCTCTGCCGAGGCCCTGCAGGCAAGCAGGCCGGTGCTGGCAACAGTGGGCGGGAGTGCGTCGACGGCCCTCAGTCGCCTTTCCTTACACCACTGAAAAAAATCCCAAACAACTCACTGAAGTGTCTCCAAGGAGATCAAGTTTAACAAAATGGATCCCCTTTCAGTTCACTGATCAAGCAGATGAACTGTGGCCCTTTCAAATCTCCTTTCCCAGTTCGGGTGGGGAACTGGTCTGAGTGTTAAGGTTCACTGCAGCATCTCCTTACCCTAACGGCAGGAGAAGAGGTAATGGGACCAGGAAGCTGGGCTTGATTCCAGCGGTCACAGTGTGGCCCCTGCCCAGGAGGCTGAGGGCAGAGACACACGGAAATGGGGTGTTGAAGGACTAGTTGGGGGACCAGGGAGGTTTTCTTGAGCCTGGTTTTCTAGGTGAATTGAGAAGGAAGGGGTTGGTGGAAGGTTTGTGCTTCAGTCAACGATTTGCAAATGCTAACACATTTCTATGTGAGGCACATCGCCATTTGTCAGTTATTGTGAATATGTGTACTTTAAACAATAAGATTTAGTGGGTCAGACTTCGCTGGGCTGTATTGGTGATGCATTTCCTGTGTTGTGATTGCTCTGAAGACAGCATGGCTCCAACTGCTGTGAGAAGGCCAAATAAAAACAATATCAAATATTTAAAAAAATAATAATGAGGAAAACAGAATACCAAATAGGAAACATCATATGTAAAAGTGCAACTGGGGTTTCTGCTCTTAGAATTACTTATCCTGTACCTGTTAAAATTGGTGGGCTTTGACTGACTCTTGAGAATGAGACAGATTTATTAGTTCCTGAGAATTTTTAAAAATCATTAATTTATCTGAAAATTATAGTTGACATGTAGTATTAGATTGGTTCCCGGTGTACAGTATAGTGATTTGACATGTATATATTGTACCTTATGAAGTGATCACTACAAAAAGTCTAGTAACCATCTGTCAGCATACACAGTGATTACAATATTATTGACTGACTATATTCCCTATGTTGTACTTCACATTCCCATGACTATTCTGTAACTGACAGTTGTACTTCTTAATACTCTTCACCTTTTTCTGTTGCCCACCCCCCTATATCCCCTCCTCTTTAGTTTTTTTTTTTGAAGATTGAAGCCCTACAGTCATAGAGTCAGTGGCCTTCCCAGGTTGCCATGGTAACCTTACTATAGTTCTCTTGTAAATGACTCCATTCTGATGTTTCTCCATTATATTTCCATTATGTTTAGTCCTGGAGTTTTTGCAGTTAGTTTTGATATTGAACAGCAGAGTATTTACTAGAAACTCATTTTCAAGAAGCACAACTAACACCTGTGCTTGCTTGCCAAGTCAGATGAACCAGAATCCAGTCGTAGATGTGAACAGGAAGCTTAACACATATCCACTGTGGAAAAAATGTGGAAAAAGATAAGGTTAATTTGAGGCTCATCCTCTGTATTGTTTGGGTGGCAACCATTGTGCTATCTATTAAAATTCTTATTTATCCTCTACAGGTAAAATACAAAGGAGAGATTAAACAGGCCACCTCAATTTCTGATCCGCCAGAGCTGAAGAGAGTTAAAGAAAACCAGAGGAACATCAGCAATGTGTGATCTTAGCAACTTCCTTCTAATGATATCAAACATATTGTTGACATGTCAATGAATGGATTATGTTTACAAATGTTCATGATCTGGAGTTGATACTGAGTTCTGCTCTCAATAACTATCAATTTATTGTTACGGTTTCAGTGTCTTAGGTCTTATGGGTGTAGCCAGGCATTCTCCCTACAGCGTTCCCAGGACATGCCAGGATGAGTTTTGTCTGCAGGTTATTGTGTGTCTCTCTTGTCTCATCTTCCAGGGTATGGCTGCTGTGGTTCCTCAAAGGGACTTGGCGCAGCTCCTGGCACCATGGCCCTGCAAATCAGCTTTTCCGCTCCCTTTCCTTCCTGCGCACGTTCTTTCCTAGCCCACTCCCAGCCATTAACTTTATTTTTGGATGATGTCTGGGGAGAAATTATAAAGTGTGCATAGCTACATAGACAATAAGAGACAAGCCCATTTTAGGAGCACTCATAAGGGCTGTCAGCTTTTACTCAGACACTCACTCCCAGCCTACTCTAATTCCCTTCTATTTATGTAATCCATGGACGCAGTTCACTGAGAGAATCCTTTTTTGAAGTCATTAACATATAGATAGGGTTCTTTGGAGGAAGAAATCTGGAAATCTATTAGGCTCAAAGAAACCTCATATTCCTTAAATGTTTCAAGTTTTTTGACCAGATTATAAGGCAAAGGCAGCTTATTGTTTGTTACTTTTCCTAACAACTATATTTTGGAGAAGTAGATGCTCATCTTTTCCTAATATATTTAAAGTCACACTAGATGTGACTCCATTACTCTCAAAAAGGAACATGGTCATTGAGAAGGAGGAACAGAGTTGTGGGAAGCAGGGCAGCCCCTTTGTGCATGACTATGTCACCTTTTTAAAGTTACACATTCAAGAGTTCTGCCACAGTTAATTACTAAGAAACCACAACAGTATAGTACCATTCTATATGGGTAGGAGCACCTTTAAGTAATATCCATGAAGACATGTATCATTTTCCTTTGTGACGAAATGCTTATTAGAGCTTTACTGATGGTATGCCCTTATATTTGAGTACATTCACAGGAATTCACTGCTGTGAAATGAATTAAAATAGATTGATTTAAGATGCAAATATTTTAAATATGACTAGACCTCTGATAGCATCCTCTTTTTTCATAGTTTTCTTGGCTAGTTCTTTAAAATAAATGCTATGAGACTTTTATTGAGTTGAATTGATTTACAGTACAGTATTATTATTATTTTTTTTTGTTCTCTGACATGATAGGTTTATTATAAAGATCAGCTGGGAAAAGCTACGGCTTTAAGTGTAACTCCTGAAATGGAAAGAGTAAAGAAGAATCAAGAGAATATTAGTTCGGCAAGTGGTTTTATTCATTTTGGACAAGGTGTCATTTATTATTTCCATGCAGTCCTGTTTTGTTTTTCCCCTTGTGAAAACAAAATATATCTTTAAGAAACATTGGGGATATGTGCAGTATGTACATGTGTTATTTAAGATGATTTCCAAAAGCTGCCAGTGTTTAACATTTTCTTGCAACCCTCTATTGATATTTCCAGATGTGAGCAGCAGTTACATTTAATGTTTAGTTTTAAACTACATTATATTCATTTAAACAATGATTCATGTATTTCAAGCCAGTGTCTTTGAAAGTAGTAAAATCTTTGATGTGTAAGTTAAAAAATGATCATTTTACAGATGTATTTCATTGGATGTGGATTGTTAAGTATTCTCTGCAAAAGAAAATAAGAAATGAGTCATTAGTCCAAAATAAGGAAATACAGGGCAAATACTTTGTATACATTCAATACAGAAGTTAGTTTTTCGTTCAGGTCCCACGGTGCATATTTGTCCAGTGTTCTCCCTCTTGCTGAGTGCCAGGGTCTCAGTGCTGAATTGCACAGAGGCCCTAGGCTCTGCGGTAATCGTCACACATGGGCAGCTCCACAAGCAGCGGTGTTCCGGCGGTCCGCTGTCGAGAAGAGCTCTGGGCCTGGGGATCAGCATTTAGGTTTAAGAATTCATTCCTTTCCAACAGCATGCCTGTCCAGAGGTGCTGACTGGATTCAGCATAAATCACCTTTAAGTTGTGGCTGCTTAAAAGGAAGTTGGATTTGTTTCTCATTGTTTCTTATCCTCTACGGAGGGAGAAATAAAACGAAATGGAAGGAAGCTTTGTATGCATTCTTCAACAGTATTATGGTGAAAATGGGGAAATACAGAAACAGGAAAGTAATTTAGGTTCCATTTAGTTTTGGATTTTCCCTGTTCAATTTAAGTGTGATAACCACTTTTACTGACTGCACTGTTAGTGGATATTGTTCATTTACACACTTGTTTTCAGTTGATAGAGCAATTTAGGCCATTTTTGCTATAGGTTTTAAAGGAGATCTTTGAGAGTAAAATTTTAGATTATTATTCTGGAATAAAATGTAATTCACTGAGCAGGTTACCTGGGGGAATAATTTAGAATATGTTGCATATATTTTACTTATTTGGAAAACTTAAAAAAGTTATGAAATTTTAAAAATTATAATTGTCTTATTAAGTACGTTCTACTGTTTTCTTTGCAGGTAAAATATACCCAGGACCATAAACAGATGAAAGGTAGACCAAGTCTGATTTTAGATACACCTGGTCTGAGGCATGTCAAAGAAGCACAAAATCATATTTCGATGGTAGGGTACAACCAGACCCTTCTTCTTACAATTCGAACATACTAAGGCATGGCACCACCAAGTGTGTTGATGGCGACAATTCACCGTTAACCTGGGTCACTGGCAAAGTGTGGAAATGAGGACGGGCCTGTCCTTTTGGGGAGACATTTTAATCACACAAATGTACTGGACATACTGTCTAATAAAATAATTTTTCTCAGTAATTTTTTGGGTGTGTTTTTATTTCTAACATGACTACTATAACTATTTTATGAGAGATATTTGCCTGGACTTATTTCCAATTAATTTGAAGACCGAGCTTTGTGTGTTTGCATGTTGTGAAGATTAAAAACATGTATGTGTTTTAAAACAGTTTCATTAGATATAATTTATATACCATAGAATTCACCCATTTAAAGTGTACAATTCAGTGGTTTGTAGAATTTACACAGTTGAGCAGCCATCACCCTAATCCAGTTTCAGAACCTGAAACGTGTATGCTTCAAAGTATATGTGCCTTTTTGTATATAATTACAATGATATCTACATTTTTTTGTAATTATATAAAAAATGTAGATATCATTATTTGTAACTCTCAATCTAATTTTAAATATATGATTTTTTTGAATAAGTATATGGCAATGACTTATCATTTTATTGCATGTTAAAGTTTAAGAAATAGGAAATTAATTTGTACTTGTTAGTACATTTTAGAGAGGAACTAGGATCATATATATGTATATATATCTCTTTTAAAAATTCTTACTGATATACAGATTTATATATAATTTAAAAGAGCTGCTACTCTTAGTCATAATAATGCAAAACAGTATGCATATATCACCACTTGATTCCTGCTGCGAGGAAGCTGAAATTTCAGACATTAATTTTGGAGTGGAAAAAAAATATATATATATATATAGTTTCAGTTTGAGTTAATACTGAGTTTTTTTTTCTAGGTAAAATATCACGAAGACTTTGAAAAGACAAAGGGGAGGGGCTTTACTCCTGTCGTGGATGACCCTGTGACAGAGCGAGTGAGGAAGAACACCCAGGTCATCAGCGACGCCGCTTACAAAGGTGTCCACCCTCACATTGTGGAGATGGACAGGAGACCCGGAATTATTGTCGGTAAGCTGACCGTCCTTCTTGGCAGGTCCACATGGTCAAAAAGATCGTGCTTGCCCGAGCTTTAGAATTAGCCTCCTTCTTCATCAGACTCCGCCGCCAATGTTTGATGTAGTGCCCAGCTGCAAATGGACCAGAGTGTTATTGTTGCACCCTGTTGAATGGGGTTCATGGCATTCGCCAGGTAAAGTTTCAGCTCTTTCTGCACCTGGTCGTCTCTGTCTTTAATAGCTTTCTTGTCTTAAGAATGGTTTCTACTTGTTAAGCAAAGAAGCAGCTCAAATATCAGACACGGGTAATAACAAGGGTTGAACAATTATTTTGATTTTACTTTATTTTAGGTTTTTGGTCCATACATCGTACTGCAGAAATCATCTGCATGTGTGACAGAAATAAAAGAAATAATCCCATTTAGGTCCTTTTACCACATATAGACATCCCAGAGAGATTCTGATGATATTCTATAATATGAATAGGTTATATTTTTTTAACATTACCTCTGAACTGGGATAATCGAGAGCTGTCTAAAAGTCCCAGACATCAGAGGGGAACTTTTTTTCCTGCCATTCCTTCTAGTCAGCCAGGGGAAGTCTTAAGAACACAGTATTTAAAGGTGGCTGAGATAGCGGGGGTCCTATGAAGTCTAAGATTGCACCAGACAGGAAAGTCACTAATTTTTCAATATATATTAACAACCCTTACTTCCATATGATTATTGTCTTTTTCAGAGCAGTTAGCCTCTAAATTATTGTAGCTAATCCAATTATATTGCTCAAGTAATATTTTTGGTAGCCACACAACAATACCTCTCAGTACTATCTCAGTGTTAGGTTAACTTAATCTTCAGATGTCAAAGCTTGCCTTTTGGACCTCATGAAAGGCTATTTAGAGACGACATGGGTGAGGGAAGTGTATGTTCAACAGGCTCATGTCTTAGCATAAAACCCGGGTACTGAAGTAAGGGCACTGGATGGTTCAGTGACTCTGAAATTACTTTCCAGAGAGGGATCCCAAACACATTTGTAGGTAGTTGATAGCTTTGCTGATCTTGCCAAATTGTGATGTTTTCATCACAAGTATCACAGAATTAGAGATTAACGTTTCCTTGCTTTGTATTAACATCTCAGAAGAGATAGTGCAGACAGTCTGAGTCCCATGAGGGTGGAAATGGTGAAGTCTGCCGGGCTTATGCCAGGGCCCCACCCTGGGTCAGGAGCCAGGAATGAATGTGAGGCTCTTGCTAGAAACCATGAGGTTGTCTAGACTTTGAGCCTCATTACCTTTGAGATAGAAGATACGATTTTTGAAAATATATAACTCTAAATTATTAACTTCCTGGGCAATCCAGAAGTCAGTTTATTTTTTCTAATTGGGGAAGCTGTTTTCCATTGAGGTATTGCCTAGGAAACCACAAAAAATATTACATTCAAGAAACTGAACTTCTGGGCAAGGCATGGAAATAAAGATTTTAGAGTTTTTCTGAATAATTCAGACTAAGCCAATTTGCGCTGTTTCTATTCTTTTTTTTTGGAGGCTCTGCTACTTACTAGTTGTATAACTTTGGCTAAGCTAAGTCAGTCTCTGTTTGCCTCAGTTTCCTCATTTATAAAATGGTAATAGTGACGTATCTCGTGTGGCTCGGTTAGCTGGAATATCGTCCCATAAACCAAAGGGTCTCAGGCTTGATTCCTGGGCAGGGTACACCCTGGGTTGCAGGTTTGGTCCCCAGTGAGGGTATGTACGAAAGGCAACCAATCAATGTTTCTCTCTCACATCCATGTTTCTCTCCTTTTCTTTCTCCCTTCCTTTCTTTCTCTCTAAAATCAATGAGCATGTCCTCAAGTGAGGATTAAAAAAAGGGAATACTAATAGTGCCTACTTTAATATGTTATAAAGCTTAAATGAGCTATGTTATAACTGAGAATAGTGCCTGCTAAGCACTACATAATATTAATGAAAGACAGACAAAGAGATTTCCAGTTCCAGGTTGCTAATCGTTTTTACTAAAGCTCCATTTCTGCCACACATCTTTAACTAGGTTTTTATTTTCCTGTTGTTGGTACAGCTCTAAACAGGTCATTTTAGGATCTGATAACCTTTAGGCAGAGAGACTGATAAACCTGGAAGTTACTAGATTTATATTTTGCCTCCAACTAAAATAGGAGGATAAATTGGCTTGCACAGTCTGGTTATTGACCATAGCAATGAACGACCCTGTGATCCACTGAGAGAAGGAAGCTTTTCCATGTTCATCTTCCCGTCCCTCATTGGTCCTGGCTCGGTGCCTTGCTTTACTGCATTTTTCGGAAATGTATCTACGTGGATTAGCTCGTGCTCACTGGCTCAGAAAGAAAACTGGCTGCTACTTGCCTGTATTGAAAAAATTTATTTCTGTTATAGGGAGAGAATTTTTTGTTTTGTTTTCTTAGAAAAAAATCTCTCAGTTACTTCCCGTGAATTACTCAGATGTCCTTAATCCAGAGTTTTCACCAAATATCGGACCTGTTTCAGTGCGTGGAGAACATGAGTGACCGGGGTCAGGGATGCGGGGCGGCTGCGCAGAGCGGCCTGGCGTGCTCATGTGCTGGGTGCTGACCCACGTGGGAGGCCCGTGAAGAATAAACAGGGCAACTTCATTTTGATCATAAAGCTTTCTTAACAAATCCTGGTGAACACAAACTTCCTTTGTCCTCTTTGATGTCTGCGTTGCAGTTTGTTTGCTTATTACATGTTTTTTCTGTACATATGTCACTTTCAAGAGTTTCTCATGACTCTGTTTGGTGCTGACTTTTTAAATTTATTCTTGATTTGTTGATTTTTTTTCCTTTTGGTAAAAGACCTCAAAGTTTGGCGCACGGATCCCGGCTCTATCTTCGACATTGACCCCCTAGAAGACAATATTCAGTCTAGAAGTCTACATATGCTCTCTGGTACTGCTTGCATTTTGAGTTCCTCCCTATTGATGTGGTTTTGTCCTGAAAGTGCAGCTACTCTGAGCCATAGAGATTATTGTGATAACTGTGTAATGTAAATTTTAAAGTTGAGGATTTGAAAAACCAAAAACGGGCTAGGCTGCTTTAAAATACTATTATTTATGAAAACAAAACTTGAAAAGGATTTTTAGTATAGTGAAATTACTTTGTTCTAGATTCATTTAAAGGAGCATTTAGAACTTAGTTATGTTTGCTTTCAAATGCAGTTATTTCAGTTATTTGTATTGCACTAAACTGCCAAGTCATAAAGATTTGTTTCATGAAAAACGCTATCACAACCTTTTAAAGGTCGAGTTAAAGATTTATATATAAAACCATTGGGAACTTATCTATATAGCATCATAAATGTCTTAAAATAAACTTTCAAGTTGCCCTAAAATTTACTTCTGAGTTTTTATATAATGTAAAGTTTATAGTTTTCATAGGACATTTGACTTTTAACCTAGACTGCATATTTATAATCACAAGCAAAAACTGAATGGTTTGTATACTTGGGCGTAATGATAGCATGGTTTGACATTTCAGACTTTCATACTGTGTTTAGCAAACCAAAGCTTTGACAATTATGCAGTTATTTTGAACAATAACAATAGAGTATCATTTAATTCTTGTCCTGCCCTCTGATTTCTACTTTAGATATTATTGTTGACATTAATAAAATTGAAAGCCCAAAGCAAAATGGAGATTCCAATTTTTAATAGTCAATTTGATCCACACAATCAGCCATGTAAACAGTCATTTAAACTTCCAAAAATAAAGAAAAGGCAACAACTACCGCATGTTGGTGACACTTGAAAGCAATTATTTGTAACCAGTCATTATGTTTGATAGAAATTTATTAGTTTGCTAATGTTTTCTTAATTCTTCTCAATTTTCTAGCCACCTTATCTCTTTGAAAAGCTAGATTAAAAATGAGTATAATGATCATTAAATCATTTATATAGTTGATACAATCTATGCTGAAGTTTGGGAGTAGGTGATTAGAATTTATAATACTGAGCTTTTGGATTATTTAATAAGGGATTGTTTCTCCTTCTTGTTAAATTTTTATTAATTTTTTTGCTTCCTATGTTTTTCAATTCACTTGATCACAAGTATGAATATTTTCCCTCCGATATAGAAAAGGCAAGTCACTCTAGGAGACAGCGGTCTCGATCTCACTCGAGCAGTACCTTTGGTACAGTTCTTGGAGATGACAAGTCAGAAGTATCCGAGGTTTACCCTAGCTTTTCCTGCTGCAGTGAGGTAACGAGACCGTCTGATGAAGGAGGTATCAAACATTAATCATCCTCAAAGAAAATTAATTCATTTTTGAAAATGTGTCACAAGTGTGTTTTTAACACATTCTTTACCTTTGCATAAGCATTTACATTGGATGTGTTTGTAAGTTTTTTGTTTTGAGTCCTTTTTTTTAACTACTAATTTGCATTTTTGCATGTTTGTTTTTCCCATCTTAATTCACTATTATCACAGCAAAAGTATCTTTAATGACAAAAGGGTTTTGAGATCTGCTTCTTGAGTCTATTTTATAGGACTTGTATGTAATCGATGTACACAGCCAGAATGGAAACTTGACTTCTGCAAAGTTTGTATCTGATTTCCATTAAGAAAAACCATTTTCATAGTAATTACATTTGTGTGGCTAACCGGTTGCTATGAAGTGTGTATGTTTGAATATTTATATACATTTGCAGTCAGAGTTAGATCTTCCAAAAAGAAGTTGAGTATGATACTTGGGATATGAAGCTTTTGTTTTTAAATGGAAAATATTGTTGATTATTAAAAATGTTCTCTATATGTTATATACCCACTCTTTTCCTCTACCTTCTCCTGTTTTTTTGCATCCAAGCTGGTGGATTAAATCAAAATTTTTAGTTGATATTGTTCTGGATGGTAAACTAATACTGCTTATAAAGCTGTTATTAAAGATTTATTTGCTTTTTATTTTTATTTCAGTGAGCATTTACTTCCTACTCTCACCAAATTTCAGTTATCCTATACAGTGTTGTT